TTAACCCTTTAACCGCCGACAACGTAATATTACGGTTTTCGAAAGCTGTGTCCGAATCGCCACATACGTACAATCACGTTATTTTATTAAAAATCTTCTTATAGTGCACAAACTCCATATAAAATGTGTCAATTTCAAGATGTAGGGTATAATCTTTATTGTTATGGATATTTCTCAATGTTTTGAGTGATAAATACTGTGAAATTTGAGGTTTAATTAAATTGTGGTCACCGTCTCCATTATCTGTATCGCCAATCACGTAATTTTACGAGTACTAGGGATGGGGCGAATTCGAAAAATACTTAATAGGTTGTCTAAGAACAAACAAGGCACTATAGATATTACTGTCACTATTTGCAATGAAAGTGTATACTTTCATTAGAAAATAACCATAGTGTTACTTTGATGCAAGTATTTGTACTAATTAAAATGTATTTAAGTTTAAAATTATTTAATATTTATAACAATAATATAAAAATTTCATAACGCAGAACCGCACTAGTGCGGACAATCGCCGGTCGCCATCATCGTAATATTACGTGCGGCCAAGGAGATTATAGCGCTGTATTGTGAGTTGCCTTAGCGCCGTCACCGTAAAATCACGTTAAACATTTATCACTCAATGCAACTAGTGTTGTAATCCCTTTTTTGGGTTTTTGTTATTTCTCAAATAAATCAACACAGTCAAAACCAAATGTGTCCATTATGCAAAGTTAGAAGATGGTGACGCAAAAGTTTTTGATCAGAGACCAAGTGATCCACGAAATGAATACTTTGCATCTTTAAAACCTTTTGAGCTGGAAACCGTACTGTCGGAAATCCGCTCAGAAGTTTACATGAAATTATTAAATTTAATACGACATGCTCGTGGAGCATCGTCACCGTCGCCAGCAGGAGAACGAACGACGCCGTGCCCATTTCCCGAATACACATTTTCGTATACTTCGTTTGAAGATTGAAAATTTTTAGATTATTTATTAAGTAGGTAAATAAAACATTGATTTTAATTAATAAAGAATATATGTATCGATATTAAGTGTTCCCAACACTGTTCCAACTTATACCTAAAGTGACGTGGCGCTGGAGGTAAGTTGAAAGTTCAGAATCTTGGCGGTTAAAGGGTTAAAGAACCTACAAAGCTTGATTGAAATTCTTCCTCAAGTAATGTGGATTCAAATACCATAGGCAATAAATTATTTAAAAATAGCCTCTAAGATTATATATACGCATAGTATTAGAATATTTTATTATTTAAGTATACCATAAGATCAACTTCAATCTAAATCATTTCTTCTTCTGAATTCCTTCATCTTCTTTTAACTTTTCCAGTACACTACAAAGTGTCCAAGTACAGAACTCTACTAAAACCTTCGTATGCAATAATAGATTTTATTTGCCTTGATAAAGAAATATTTTCCTTCTATATTACCTCCACTATCTATTCTTGCTACCTTTATTATTTTTTGTAAATAGAATATTTCAGTTGACAGTTGTCCGTATCGCGTAATGTTTTAGTCCATAGACTAAGTCTATGGTTTAGCCAAGTAGTTTTAACGAGCCGTTGACGACGAAGACAGCGCTAAACGGAGGTCAGTGCCTGTAATACCGTGGGAATAACTATTTGTAAATATGACTGAATACCTCACAAATCCTAAACAATAACAAATATACCTTACAGTTTATAAAACACTAAAATATCTTCCGTAAAACGAGGTCTAACACTATTGTTCATCATGGAATGTAAATATATCGGTATAGTTATGAATTTAATGAATAATATTTCGTTAAGTAAACATATTTATCAATTGTTTAATTATAATTGGATATTTATAGACACTAAAATGGTGTTTACAAATTATATTCCGCGCAGAATGTGGCAAATAATTGTAATTTTCCGCAAGTCGTAACTAATAAGTGTTGAGAAGTAAAAACCTTGTAGTAATCACTTCGTCTTGTACACATTGCCTATTATCCGCATAAGAACTTTATTCGCTTGACTACCTACTTATTACTTTGCAAGTATAACTACCCGAGTTAATTTTTCCTCAATTAAAAGTTAGCATTATTTTCGACACAAAACTCCTTGGTGCTATCAGCATTGTTTTTATTTATATGTCATTCTTTCCATTTTTTAATTAGAAAGTTCATATACCTAGATATTTCCCGCTCGAAATTAAAATAGACTGAACAAAATATTTCCATCACAATAAATACCTCTTTGTTTTAAATTCGTGCAACTTAATTAATTTGTTATGCATCCCACGTTTAGTTAGAAAAAATATCTAGTTCAGTAAATTCCATTGAAAAATTGCTAATTTGCTATCGAAATCTAGACGCTGGTTAACCGCAGCTTAGTCAGAATGACGTATTCAGTCTGTTTCACGGAGATTTTATTAAAATAAATAGTTATTCCCGCAACGGGGTGATTGGGATCCTGCACTGTACACGTTTATTTGTTTGCACTGTCTTGCGTTCTATTTTCTTTTTTATTTCTACACAAAATGGCCTATGATCAACACTATTTTTAATCCATTGCTGTGTTAAACCTTACTTCTGAAGAATATTTATACTGCAATGGATGATGAATGAGTGTAATTAAGGTTCATTTTGTATAAGAATTGTTATATTTAATTTCCTGTCTTTATATTTTTCCTTTAGTGACACGTGGTTGGGGCTCATAACTAAATATATAATCAATTACAAACTAAAAGAAAATGTCTTTAAAACACATTCTATCATCTGTTTTTAACACCGAGCTTTCATATTTTTTAACTAAATATTATAAGACGACTGAAAGGTAAAAAAAACTGAAACGACGCTAGAATGATATAAGTGAGAAAGATATTCAAGTACCGGTTTGTATTGAGAAAACTTTTGAAATAATTCAAATTATTGCTACTTATATTATCTGTGTTACTTTAAGTAACCAACCTAGACAGACAGATATTATTTACCGCCTAGTGGGTGTCCATTCCGCTCTCTAAAATTCAGTATAAACGCTTCCTTCTATTAAACTATTGAAACAATTTATTTCAATGAAATGTCCCACAATTTCACATTTATAATGAGGATAGAGCATCATGCAACAAGTTATACTTATTTAGGTCATAAAAGTAAAACTGTACATGCTTGGAATCGTAAAATAATATGATACAATAAATCACATTACAGTTAGTACTAGACTTGTAATAAACTTATTTTAAAACCAGTCTCCAGTGACCTCATATTGTATGACACGGACTGGTACAAAACAACTTTACAAATAAAAAAACTTACTAGTGTAAGTTTAATATATGGTGATAATGATAACTATACCTATCACCAGTTTTAATATTATTAAAATCTTAAATTGTCCAAAAATTTAATCAAATCAGCTCAATAATCTAATTTGGACGTCAAAGGATTTATGGGTGGGGTAGCATTTGTATAGTCTGTATCGGCTTTATGCAGCATTGTGTTTTACTTTTTATAAAGATGTTTATTCTATGGTGGTGACGCCAGCGACCTCTGTACACAATGCGCGGGTTTGTGCAATGTATTCAATAGTCTGTTAAGTCAGTTACACGAGTACTTTGTGAGTGTTAGTCATCTGTGAGCGCTATTGCAGGATACTCGTTTTGTTACAACAGTTTAAATTATTCTTCCCGCGCATTTCGTACGTTTTATTGTGATGTGTTGCACTGTGTGATGGGTCGTGAGTTTCTTCTTCCAATACTAAAATGCATGATTTTTGTTATAACGATGCATGACTTTAATGGTTTGTTTAGCATGCAATGTTTATTATAAATAATTACGATGATTTAACTCGGCACAGTCTGCCCCCACGTACTGGATGTAACATGTTTTATTATTACTCGTATGTAAATTACAGCTGTACTTTTGTAACATTATGTTTTTTATTGTTTCAAGTTCGTGTCCTACATTTTATAATGTGCACTGCAATTGTTCTTTTCCTTAACCGTTCATTGTGAAGTTTGTTGCAAAGATTTTTTTCTTTTAAATTATTTTGACATGAATATGAAACAATTGAAGTAAATAATGTTAACAACTGCTAATTGTACTTGACGTCATTGTACAGACGCGCATCAAGGTATACCGATCAACTTCAAATGTACCTACTTAATTACAGTGCTAAAGTGGAAAATCAATGAAAGTCTAACTTGATGTGCTATTGTCTGTACCTGACTATTGAACGAATCTTTGTGCCTAATGTCAGCACAGACAATAAAAGCGTATTGCATGGAACTAGTCATATAGATACCTAGCTAAGTACATAGTGTGTGACGCAGATTACTGACTGTACAGATGTTCGACTTCCCACATTAGTTGTCAGCCGTAATTAATACACCTACATAAAATAACTACCACGGACAATGGAGCGATAAAAGAATTTTCTCATTCTGATCAACTATAAAGTATTGTATTGACAACTAATGCCATACTATTTTAATCATATTTTATCGAGATCCATTCAACTTAAATAAGAATGTAGGTACTACTAACATTCTGGAAACTTGATATTATCATTAATAATGATACCTATGTCTCTTTACAATAACTACTTCGTTTTCAGTTTAAAATGTGGCATCATTCGTTAAATTCATAATCACCGCATTACACGGGGAAATCAAACATCTGTTGACAGAACTTACTCGAAGAATGACATTACTTAATCAATCAAGCAATACTCTATAAAACGATCAGTATAACTACCATAAGACAATTTTACAGTTCTTTAAGTTTCTGATAAGAACTCCCAAATAATTCTTATAATTCATAGAGCCTGTGATACTGGCCGTAAATGTCATTCAGTAAGTAAACATTAGATAATCTGTGTCACTACGTGAACGTATAGTGATGTGACGCTATGATGTGCAGAACTGAAGCGGCTGCTGCCGACGTTGTCGCGCAAGGACAAAAGCCCGCGGGCGCGGACGTCGTGGTACGCGGAGTGCGGCGCAGATACCACTCCCAACACTACGCCCATCACTACGCCTAACACCTCCAACACTTCCTGGTAAGTTATCTTAAATTTTAGGTATATATTAGCTTTCCGCCAGCACTTTTGTCCTTCAATGATAAGAGCTAAAGGTTCTGTGCTCAATAAATAGCGCTAATGTAACGCGTGGTCCTATTTGACCAATCACTGTAACTACCCTATAGTTGGAGACTAGATAATTCTCTAGACAAGACCTCACGCTCGTTTGGCGCCACCTGGCGACCACAGAAATGTTAACCATCATTCAGGTTTCTTTTGAATTGGATCAATTGACTCAATTGCCATGAGATGATGATAGGCGAAAATATGCATAAAAAATAAATGTTCGCCATTTTGAAATATGGAGGAAAGTTGTTCTTAACTCAGTTATCATTATTTGAACAGCTGGTCTGTGGTGTATTTTATTTTGCTTCTGAAAAGTGTCATTGAACTTCAGCTTCAGTTTAGATAGGTTAAATACTTTATTTTATTACAGTAGGTACCTACCTAAGTTCTAGAATAGACATAAGGAATGTTTTAATTTACGGCATTTTCAGAATAGACCTGTATGATCATAATAGCTTGTTAACCATTTTCCATTATCTTTTCCATGTTTATGTTGATCTTATATTTTCGTACTTCTCAAAGTTAATATTTAAGTAGGTACAGTCAACTTGAGTCTACTATCTGGATTTCCTACATGCTGTTCTTTCATTTCAATGCTAGGTATCCATATTTTCCCTGTACGTAAATACAAAAACACAGACATCATTTCTTCATTATTTACAAATACTCCTATTTTCCTTCAATTAGCTACTTGGGTATAACAAATTAATTACAAATTGTAAATACCTAACGTCTGCTAACCTACTTGCATGAATATTGTGGGTACTAAGCTAAACTTAAACAATATTTTCTTAACCATAATAAATGAAATCTTAACATTTTCTAATCCATTACACCTATTTATTAACGAAGAATTTTTAATTATGAAAGCAAATGGATACGGTACACGAAACGCAAGAGGAGAAAAACTTATCGATTTTGCCCTACAACATAAACTATCAATTATAAATACTTTCTTTAAGAAAAGACCTGAACGCAAATGGACATGGAAATCACCTAACGGACAATATAGGAATGAAATAGACTTTATTCTATCGAACAACCCCGACTCATTTCAAAACCTAGAAGTACTAAACATAAATTTTCCATCTGACCACAGATTGGTTAGATCAACACTAACGCTAACCAATATAAAAAGAAGTAGAGCAAACTATACTAGCAGGTGTTACAAAACCTTACAAAGCGAGAAGGAAATAATGGAATTCAGGAATAATCTCTATCAAAACATTAAATTATTAGAAGAAACAAAAAGCACCGACACAATTCAGAGCTACTATGATAAAATTGTAAACGCAATTAACAAAAGTCTCCAACAAATAACCCCAACAACCAGGAATCATACAAACGCAAAATTATCAGAGCGCTCTAAATCTCTCCTCGAGAGAAGGCAGCAACTTCAAAGAACTCAATTCAAAACAAGAACTATGAAAAACGAGCTAAAAGCGCTATATAAGCTTACTAGTAAATATATAAGAAATGACTACCTTAACTATAGAAAAAACACCCTGCTTATTCACCTAAAAACCTCTGGAAGTTTAAAAAAAGCGCGAAAGGAACTACAAACTCACAAGAATTGGATCGACAGCTTGAATAACCTAGGGAGAATAACCCAGCACAGAAACGAAATCCTTACAATAGCTACCGAATATTACAAAAATTTATATGACACTCCAACAACGCCGAGCAGAGGTCACCAGACAACCCAAGAAAATACAGAAAACAATGACACTACCGAAATAGAACCTGTACAAGAAGTAGAGATCCTGACCAACATAAAAAACCTAAAAGTAGACAAGTGTCCTGGCATTGACAAAATATCAAACGAGATATTAAAACATGGAGCGCCAATATTATGCCACCCACTCACGCTTTTATTTAATCGTATACTTGATACTGCTACCACACCTTCTCAATGGTCAGACTCCAACATAATATTGATATATAAAAAAGGAGACCCAAAAAATATTTCAAACTACAGGCCTATTAGTATATTGCCAAGCCTCTACAAATTGTTTTCATCAGTTATTGAAAAAAGAATAAGCTCTACCATACAACTTCACCAACCGGTAGAACAAGCTGGGTTCCGGAAAGGATTCTCTACAGTCGACCACATACATACTTTAGAGCTCCTAATAGAGAAATATCAAGAACAGCAGAGATCTCTATATGTCGCCTTTATCGATTATCAAAAAGCATTCGACACATTATCACACTCAAGTATATGGGACGCGCTAAGAAAACATAACGTGGAGAGACAATATATCGAAGTTTTAAAAAACATCTACGAAAAATGTACTAGCAAGGTGAAATTAGAAACTTTAGGTCCACTAATAGATGTAAAAAGAGGAGTAAGGCAGGGAGACCCACTATCCCCTACACTTTTTATTTCTGTTTTGGAAACAATTTTTGGACAGCTGGATTGGAATGGCTGTGGCATATACATACAAGGGAAATACTTTAATCACCTAAGATTCGCAGACGATATAGTTATAGTGTCTGAATGCTCTAGCCAATTACAACACATGATAACTACACTGCACCTTGCAAGCATACAAGTGGGTCTTGAAATGAACTCGTCAAAAACAAAAATTATGACTAACAGTACACAAAAACCTATAAATGCCAATGACATATCTCTCGAATACGTCAAGGAATACATATACTTGGGAAAGCAGATCTCTTTCGCTAAAAACAGTAACTTATTAGAGGTAGAACGGAGAGTTAATCAGACTTGGAATAAATACTGGAGTCTTAAAGAAGTGTTCAAAAGCGACCTCCCAGTGGAACTAAAAAAGAAAGTAATGGATTCAAATCTGCTCCCATGCTTAACATATGCATGTCAAACATGGAAATATAGCACCGCTGTTAAGAACAAAATTATCTCGTGCCAAAGGGGAATGGAGCGCAGCATGTTCAATATCAAAAAACAACACAGAATCCGTCACTCAAAAATTAGAGCGAAATCCAAAGCAATTGACGCAGTTTCATATGCACTTAGACTAAAGTGGAAATGGGCAGGTCATGTAGCAAGGTTACAAGACAACAGATGGACAAAAATAATTACAACATGGAAAGGACCAATAGGAAAAAGGAAAAGAGGAAGACCGCACACACGATGGGACGACGAAATCCTACGTGTGGCTGGAGTACGCTGGCTAGATACAGCAAAAGATCGAGAAAGATGGCAGTCTCTGGAGGAGGCCTTCACCTCAGGGGTTCCCTAAAATGAAACATGATATAAAATGATATGCTTTCTATTTTATTTTTTGGAAATGTATATTTCTTTTTAATTGGGAAATACAAGGCTTTTTTATTTTTTTTATTTTTTTATTTTATTATTAACGAAGAAACCCATGTTAATTGATTTGATTAATTTTCGTCCTACAAGAAAAAAACATTTTGTAAAATTAAACATAAATGAAAATGCATAACAAAACGCAACGTGACACTTAATGACAGGGCCGCCATATTTACACACGGCTGCACGTCAAACTATATAAAACCAGTATAAACTGACTGTCAAATGCACTGAAAGTTCATACAAAGCGAGAGCATGATAAACTGGTTATGTATAACTTGATGTGTCCGTGTGTACGTATGATTTGTAAAAGCGCGCGCAGTTGCGTAGCGAGCGCGGCACGACATCTACGCTACAGTTACGATTGCGGTCCGTTTGGCATTCGGCGCCGGTTGCCAGGGTTCACGACAAAGGTCAACAACGACACGCCACGATCTTACTCTCTGCATGTCCTACTTGGAGAAATTCACGCAAACTTTTACCTACTTACTACCTATAACCCGTTTATGAGAAGAACATCGTCTAAAATCTTTTGAGAAATCAATTGTCGCATGAAGACCAAAATAAAGAAAATCTTTTTTGTTGGTCCAATTGTGCTATGCTTGCTAAAATATGCCTTGTGGTGACAAATGCTCTTTAACGCCAAGAGGACACCTCACCAAATATGCCATAATCACATAAAAAGGACCATCCGTCAATAATATAATCTTTTATTTCAATCCCGAAAATCATGATGCCCATAATAGTATTAAAATTAGCAAATTTCTTAAATTTTGCTAGACTTTTATTAACTTAAGCAATAAGCATCATATAGAGACGTCATATTCTTGACAAAACCTTGATTCCTGGTTAACGTAAAATAACATAAAGGCTTGATTAAATAAACAAAGTTAAACCCTATTGTCAATAAAAATAAATGCAGTGTAACCCAGAAAGATGTTCCCGTGAGGTATAGGATAGTCCAGCCCAGACGTTAGTCAGTGGCGCGAACGCATGACCACCATTACCAACGAAACCGATGACTCACAACTTCACAAGCCAGTTTTCCGTACCACCGTTAGCCGTGGCCCATTGCATTAGCGACAGGCGATAGAATAAGCGACACGGTTATTGATGTCTCAAGGATACGTCAGCAAAATTGAAAAATAAAATATTGATTCGGTCTCAAAATAAATCATACACGTACTTCTACTACCAGAAAACTAAAATGAAACGGAAACGGTATAAATCATATTTTAATTTCAATCCATAAAATGTTCGCTTTTTAACCTTAAAATACTGTTAAGCAAATAAAAATTGTGCGTTTGTGTATTTTTCGATAACATTTTAGTCGAAGTAATATACCTAACTGACTTTTTGTCAACTACCTTATAGTATAAACTGGTATTTAATAAGTTCAAGTTCATAATAAGAAAGACCCGCTTACAGTCAGTTACTTGGAACAGCTCATAACTTAAGTTCGATAGTATGCGCGCGCGCAGAAGGACGTTGGTGGTATTTGAATCGAATCCGTTGCTTCGCGGGTTTTAGCGCACAATTTAATAAAATAAAAATAAAATTAATAACAGTTAGTTAATACTTACAAGTGTTAAAATTAAAATAAGTGCAGTGTCCTTTATTCAGTTAGGTAGTGTTTTGTTTTGTACTGGACAATTTTATGTGTGAATATAAAATTAGTGTCGAATGTTACTCGTGTCAACAAAGGAAGTGATAAACAGATAAACAGAGGTAATCTACATGACATTTATAAAAATATCATTTTTATGATATTTTTGTACTGAATACCTACTCGTTTCTTCCCACATGGTCGTAATGTCGCCGCCCATACTCACATTGAAGACCAATGTCACCTTGCATAATTACGAACCTGATAATAAACAGCTTTATTATTTTGTGGCGTTTATTGCCGTTAATTAATAACACATATTATTGGGGTCAATGTATTTGACTTGTCTGCTTATTGTCCTTAAGATTGTGAAGTAAATATAAATATGTACTTAGATTAGCTTAAATCATAATTTCATTTAATTTGGTTGGTCCTGCTATAAGCTATTTAGGCAGCTATTTCGTTCCTACTTCTTTAATGGCAATGACGATCTTCAGATTCAGATTAATTTTGTTCTGAGACAGCTGTTCGTGTCCCTACCGTGGCACCTGGGGAATCCCTTCATTTGTTTTAATCGGTCGTCTTTCGTTCAGTCACACATGTTTGGCCACTATTGATAATCTTAGCTTACCAGAGTTGCGGAGTTTGAGAGTATGGTATGAGGCGTTAATAAATCTGATTAGTCATACACGTGCTCTCTTTAACGGCCGAAATTATACCTCTAGTACCAATCATTATCCAAAATCTAGAGATTTAGAGATCGATCTCTGTTTTTAGCAGAAACTCGATCTGCTATCCTTAACCCACAGAAAAGTTAGATAAATTACCGAGTTAGCTATTTCAGCTATTAGGATTTTGACCAATGAGGGTTTTATCTTTTATACGATCATAGGTGCTTCATTGAAGGAAGTAAGGATGAATCGCGTCATTCTTTAATTCGTCATACTTTATGTCCTTATCGAATCAGTTTTATAAGTCACACCGCAATCTTTAAATCTTTATGTATTTTGTATGTAGTCTTTGTAGAATTGATTATTATCGGTTTTATAGTGTAAGACTAAATACAGTACAATCAATTGGGGGGAATTTCGAAAGCTTTATCAGTTAATGACCAAGGCAGTAACTACTTATACCCGGTAAAGACCAATAGGTTCCCCCCCTGTACCACTCTGTATTGTAAAAATGTACTCTGTCTATCTCTTTGATAAATAAGAGACGTGATATAATATCATGTTATGAAATAATCTATTAGAAACTAGTTTCACTTATCTCCACTACCTGTAATCATGCAAATAACAAATGATTTCTTAACCAATCAAACAATATGTTCTAAGTACCTATGTTTACAATGAGATGACGTCATCGTTGACAACCAATGACCTTGTAATGGTCATTTTACTCACACCGACAGCTATAATTGCACCTGCATTAGGTAGATATCAAAGAAAAATAAACATGCCAAGTTATTTAACTTCGTCAATTGGAGAATCTTGATGTTTAACATACATTTTTATGCCAAGAGAAACATAAACATTAAAGATCGATTCTTTTCTTACATATTTTTTAGCGGCCTCTATAACCATAATAACACGAAATGTAGTCACACACACAGACACACACACACACACATCAGGATTCTCGATCCCAAAAATCTAAAAAAAAGATGTCTGATTCGTGTGGACGTGACATTTATCTCCCTTGAGACATTTACCTTCCCGGAGTCCCTTGTGTGAGTCATCCCAATTCTGTGCAAGCAATCTATTGTAATGGACAATGGACATAAAAGTACCCCGAGGGGAGTCCCTGTTCTGTGCAAATTCGTCTTCAATTCAAACTACACGTTGTCTTTTTAACTATGACCACAGACAGGAAACAAATTTTTAATGTTTTCAAGAATTGTACGTGCCTTTTCTACCAGGCTTCATTGTTCATAAATCTAAATAAACAGACCCTTATTATGTATCATTATTTATGTACGTAAATTGTTGTATTTGTATTCGATTTTCTAACACAACTTTAATTTTGTTCTAGGTACGCAGAAGCCGGTCTGTACCAAGCCGGCAACATCTCCTCGTCCTCGGGAGCATCATCAGGCTCCCACCCAGCCAGTCCACTGCCCCACTCCCTGTTCACACACGAGCCACTCTACCAATTCTACAACGCTGCTAAGGTCGAGGTCAGTATTTTATCGTCGTCTCCTATATATATTTGAAATAATTTCTATTGTGCTGGTCCATCGGAATAGAAATATTTCGGATACTTGCGCAAAGGATCAGGATATTAAAATAACACTAAATTTAGTGTTCAGTTCCTATATACCTATCCATCCAAATTCCATTGTACATATGTTTCTTTCTTTTCGTTTTGTTTAAATGTACCTATGTGTTATTAAAATATGCAATAAAGAATATACTAAACCAAATTGATTTGAGGATTCTTTTTATTTCGACAAATTTCTTACACCGAAAGGTCTTGTTATTCGATTTTTTACCTGTTGGTGAACATCACAGGTGACCTATTTTTCCAATTCCTGAAACAGATCTCCAATTTCAAACCTTTGTCTGTTATCTTTGTCCTATCTTCCTTACTGCCCTACAATTTTGTGAACAGACGTACCTACAAAACTCCTTTATCTCACGGAAGGAGGCACAAAAATGGGTTATGAGCACACAGACGATAAGCTTTCATACAAATTAGATTACAACTTTTACTACAAAAAAATAACGTAACACGCTCATTAACTTGGCGCCGGCCACACTCTGATCTTCCTTAAACTAGGTCCCTTGTTTCAATATGACGCCAAACCTAATGCTGATATTACGTAAGGTTGTTGTAAAACACCTAGGCGCCTACATCCTTGTTCGTTCTTTGTTTATACAAATCTGGTATGCTCTTCGGAATGAGCACCTAGCTTTACACAGTGCCTGACTAATGGAAACAGACAATTCTATTGTACCTTCATAAATGACCTGTTACTCCTATTTGTAATTGTAACATATGTTTTTACTTCGAATTTGTGATTAACCACTTAGTTGGTACCTGTAAAATACTATCTGCGCACGTCATACGAGTTCCCACAACCCTCGTCAACGGCCAGGATTGCCTGGACGTCATTCTATTTCTGTACCAACAAAATGACGTATGTTTAAGGAAATAAACAGTTTAATTACACTTTATCCAACGTGTGTCCAATTTTAGAGTCGGCGTGTAAACGATGGCCGCTAATTCGCCACTAATTGTTGGTAATTGTGGCGACCTTGATGGAACACGCTAGACTTCAGTTTGTATGACCTAACACCTAACAACGGTGCACACACATGGGTCATCGGTCTTATCGCGAGTCTGTACTTCCGTGAACACTGAAAGTTTCTGTTATGAAGCTCTAATTTTCTAGACGTGAGAGTGTACAGATATTTGGTGTCTGTTGTTAATTACTTTTACCCATCTATGGATACCAGGATATCCTATTCTTTCTTCAGAAATCTTTCACTACACACCACACACTTGGGTACGTACTTTATTCCGCTACCTTTCTAGTCACTAGGTAATTTGTCGAACAATACCCTCGGCCCCACAGTAAACACTACCTACTTCACCTCTTATCATCGCCATGTCTACCCAATAGAAATCTTTCCACAAGCTGTTATTGAAGCAATTACACCTGTCTTTAATCGACAGAACCCGTTGGTTCTAACGATTTTAATTGTATGTAGTGTGAATTGAAAATAGAAACCGTATCGCAAAATGCTTTAAATGTCAGAGAGAGTATGCGTTTCTGCAATCTGATTGGCCGGCGCCAATGAAGCAACCAATCGCCGAACGCGTACTTGTTACGATTACTTTAAACGTAAAACAAACTCATACTAAGGCCTCAGGTGATGATTCACCAACAACAGTCAGTGGCAGTTTAGGCGCTGCTGGACTGGGCTTCCTCTACATAAGAGTGTTTGCCATCTTCTCCACATTTGGAGATCGTAGTTTACAAGCTTTAATTAAATTTACCTGCTAGTGTGCGCTGCTGCCGGTCTGTCAAAATATCTGGCTCTGCCTGTCTGCAGAAATAGCACAAATAGAATAAGCATTAATACTATTTCGGTATGCATTTTAGTAGCAATGTTTGTCTGTCGAATCTAAACATTTGTATTGTAAACTTGTCGTTCCTACACCTTGGTATGACATAGTTTCTAGAAAAACGACAATTGTTTTGTCTCGAATGTTTGTAAAGTTGCCTGTAAACAATAACATTAGTGCGCCGTGCGGTGTGGAGTGTCTGTGAAAAGAAATATTTCATCATTTGTTGTGCGAACGACACCGAATACTGAATCAGTGCGCGCTGTTAAATTATTTGTTAGTTTAAAATAGTTTACTATTGCAAGTGATTGTAAAGATAATTGGAAATCGTGGGGAGCCTTACTACTCAAGTGTAATCTCCATTAATTTCTCTACTAAATGGCAAATTTAGGCAAAGTGAACAAAATTCAAAATTCCGTATAGTTCATTGACTTCTATAATTTCTTTAGTGGAACTAAAATATAGTACGTCTTTAAACTGCAACCAGCTACAGAGTCATACAGCTGCATAGCTACTTAAAATTTTTCAAGTCCACCTGGGAGCCACAAATCACTCGTCGAGCGTGATCATTATGGCAAACCATTTCTAAAGATCCTTCCATCCATCCTCGTTCCATTCCGACTGATATTTAACTTTCAATACCTGATTTCATAATTTCTCCTGCAGTCTGTGTGTCGTGATACCGGAGACTCAGACTCGGACGCGTACGAGGCAGGGTCGCAGCGCAGTGCTGCCACCTCCGGGAGTGAGACGCCCGCGCGCCCCTCCGCCATGGCACTAGTGGCGCCGCGCGGGCCTTCCCGCACTCTCTGGTGTGAGGTACCCGAGGTGGTAAACTCCGCTGTGCTTAGTAAGTAGCCTTTATTTTCTAGATTTTAAGTCTTAATTCAAGTCTAGGGACGATAAGGAAATTGAATTGTTATCTTTATCATATTCCAATATGATGATTAAAGCTTCAAAAAGAAGGTTGTGAAGTTACATAAGAGATGGGCCTCTACCTGCCGATTCGATGATAAACTTTCTCCGCAGTATTCCTAACATACCCACCTCCACAGGTTCCCTAGCTCCAGCACAGAAGCGTCTCCAAGAAGCGAAGTTCGAGCTACTAACTTCAGAAGCGTCGTACCTGAATTCCTTGAACGTGTTGGAAGCCAACTTCATAGCGCACCCCGCCTTCAGAGACCCACACGTGTTGCCTAGACATGAGTGGGAGACGCTGTTCGCTACTATATTGCCGGGTAAGATTCATTCACCAATTTACTTGTCTATTGATTTAGTTGCTTTACATGGAAATCTGTCTGGAGAATTTGGTTCTGCAGTATTTCATGTTTTCTATACTAATTCCAACTTTGCTAGCTTGAATGTGAGTTTATCAAGTAATTACTTGCCTTCAGTATGGAAATGTATATGTACCATTGAGGCCAACTTTAAATAAATAAACCTATTAAGATTTTCCTAACAAACATTTGATCAGTATTTTATCCTTTCCTCCAACAGTCCGCAAATGCTCCCAGCTACTAATGACGGAGCTGGAGAAGTGTTGGCAGGAGAACATCCTGCTGCAAGGGATCTGTGACATCGTGCGGCAACACGCCGAGCTACACTTCAGTGTGTACGTGAAGTACTGCGAGAACCAGGCACTCATGGTCAGGGCGCTGCAGCGGCTGCAGGCCAGGCCGGCCTTCGTCGCCGCGCTTAAAAAGTACGTATTTAATAACATCACTTATGCTTGTTTATAATTATCGTGTAATGTGTATTGTGTGCTGTCTTGAAGTAATTAACTTTAACGTGTTAATTCTAAAAAGCAAACAGGGGAATTTGGTCCAAACGTACTCATAAAGTCATTTAGAATTGTAAAAAATCCATAAACCTGTACATGACACGTTAACCACCGCGTATGTCATTCCAGTGACATTCCGTAGCGGAGGTTTTGTCTTCAACAGTTTTCTGTCAGCAGGCAAAGGTTTAACCGAATGAAAAGTGACTTGTGGCCCGTTTCACATACATACTCTGGATAGCCACTCTTGAATAAACTGTCAAACACCAAGCGGTCACCGGTGACCGCAACCTATTGTTCTATAATTGTGTCTATAATGACGGTACTCGACGAGTTAATAGATAGTTTTTTTTATGGCATAAGCCGGTAAACGAGCAGACGGATCACCTGATGGTAAGCAATCGGCGTCGCCCATGAACACCTGGAACACCAAAGGCATTACAAGGGCGTTACTGGCCTTTTGGGGATTAGGAGTTTGAGGATGGTTGGGGATTCAGAAATTGGGGAGATTGGGGAAGGGGAGAGTAATTTGGCCTCCGGTAACCTCACTCACACGACGAAATACAACGCAAGCGTTGCTTCACGTCGGTTTTCTGCTCGGCCGTGGTATCACTCCGGTCGAGCCGGCCCATTCGTGCCGAAGGTTGGCTCTCCCACACTTATACACCGTTAAATTTGAATCGTTTTAATCCCTTGGAGGTTCGAACTGGTCCATGAAACACTATCGATTTGTAAAGATAAAATTAAAAAATAAAGTACTTTTTTTTAATAACTCGAATCAATTCTCGCATGAGTGAATAAATAATGCGAACCGTTAGTACAGTTATGTCGGTCCTAAGCCCGTAAAAGTATGAAGGAAAATTTGGAATCAATTTATTTGTTTACCTACGCAAACATCAGTTGATCGAGTCAATAACCTTATGCTTGATCGGGCCGTGTAGGTACGTACACTGCCCGATACGCAACGGCCGACGACGACGTAGGTAACTATCTCGTGGCGCAACTTTTGGTTTCATACATTTTGCGAGTATAATTTTATCATTTGCTAATTTATTTATTTTTTATGTTACACCGCAGTACAAGCTTGTAATGAGTAGTATTGTTAGTTAAACCACAGGTCCATGGGATTAAAACGACTAAAATTTAACGGTGTATAAATATATGAGTTGAGCAATGCGTGTCGAACTGTCGCAGACTAGAGAGCCACCCGTCGTGCCAGAGCCTGTCGCTGGCGTCGTTCCTGCTGCTGCCGATGCAGCGCGTGACGCGGCTGCCGCTGCTGCTGGACGCCGTGCTCAAGCACCTCGACGCGCACGACACGGAGTACCACGCCTGCGCACGCGCACTCGTCACGCTCAACAATGTACGTCTCTGTTTATGACATGGTTTATAAAGGGGATATATATGATATACAGATTGTCACAAAATTAACCATAAAAAATATCTTAACTTTTATTGAAGATAAACTTATTATTTATTTAAATTGACATTACTCATTACCTTTCCCATTATTTTTGTTTAAAAACTATCGAAATTTTGATTTTTTTTTAACACTGTGATATATAGAAATACTTCTCAAGTCATTACAAATTATAATTCAGTAAAATTTGACGAATTGTTGGGGTCTGAAGGAAATAACTTAAAGAAAGTAAATCTTAAAAAGTAATTAATTAAATCTAATATTTTTTATTGGCTTTTGAAACAATCTACCTGTATAGAAACTTTAATACCTCAAAATAATCACATGATTTATTTAAAAATCAAGGCTTACTCACGTGAATCACGTAAATGACAATGCCAGATCCTGACCCAGTCATACTATCATTTACAAAAAAAGTAAATTGATGAAAATAATTTTGACGAATAAGGAACCTTTTGACAATATTTTTTTTTATTTTTGAACTTGCGGTTTACAATACTTTTTTGCAATGCGTATTCCATAATTATTGTCTAATGACTATTTGCGTTACACCATACGCACCGCTTGTACGAAACTATGAAAATATAAAAGTAAGTAACTGTAAAAAACATATCATTATACATAAAATATTATATCAAAAGTATAATTATGTATAACATTTATTTATTTATTAATAATTACAGATGAAATCACGAAAGTATAAAAGAAACGATTACTATCATTAGTTATGATTTTTTTGTGTAACGAAACGTTTTGAAGCGCTCGTCAGCTGTCAGCTGTCAGTGTCAATATTATCTTTCATTCGCTCTCTGCGTTTCCGTTGTTTTCGCGTTATGTATCATTATTGTTTTTTTGTTTTATACAAAAACCGCGAGTTTTACAGGTTTCAGGATAAATGTTTAGGTATCGGTAATTAATACACAACACAATGCTGAATACTGCATACTTGTACATGACTTCTAATATAGTGGGTCAAAGATGTACTGAGCACCTGGCATTGTCCTTTCTATGCTTCACGTAAATAACCCACGATTTTTAGTTAACTTAGTATGTCTCACAATAGTTATTATAAAAACATTATTTGTGTATTTCAGTACGTGTCGCAATGTAACGAGGGCGCCCGTAATACAGAGCGCATAGAAGAAATGTACCGTCTGTGCGCCTCCATTGACTTCCCCGCGCATATACGCTCCCCGCCCTGTCTCGGACCTGCGTGCTCACGGAGGGATCGCAGGTATACCATAGATTTACATCATTTTTACTAAGGACGAATTTAAATCGATAAACTATAATTTTATCTAATACATTATTTTCTTAAATATCTCTGATATATATCGGCCAACTATAACATAATATACCCAACTACTATAGAAATATATCTCCCTACTACAGACCTGTCCGCTGGCTAGTCCGATCTGGTGAGATGACGCAGTTGATCTGGAAGTCTGATGAGCTGAAGCTGACCTTCGGGAAGAAGTTCCACAAGGTGCCGCTACATCTGTTCCTCTTCAACGATCTCCTCGTCATCGCCAAGAAGAAGGGGTACGTATACCTTGCTTGCTTGTTTGTTTGTTTTCTTTCTTATCTTTCTATAGAATTTTAGTATTTTGTCAAGGGCGATTTTGCATTTTGAAATTCACAATTCTATTACAGAATCTGAATTCTAGTAATTATGCACAATAGACGTTCCTACTTTATACCTACTGATGAATGAATGACTGATAGACTTGATATTGGTGAAAGTTAAACTGTCAAACACCAAGCGGTCACCGGTGACCGCAACCTATTGGTCTGTAATTGTGTCCATAATGACGGTACTCAATGAGTTAATATACCATTTAATAATTTGATGTTTTCTTGTTGCGCAACAGTTGCGCTTGCGACTTTTCCACTTAATACGGGGGAAAAATGTATTAACTTAACGTAACTTTAAACAATACTTTCTTTAATTCCAGTGAAGACCAATACATATGCGTGGACCACTGCCCTCGCTCGCTACTAGAAGTATGTTCCAGCGAGGTCGGAGCCGGGGGGGCGAAGCATGCTCTACTCATTACACTACTAGAGAACCATGAAGGAAGAACTCTTGAGATGTTGATGTCATGTCCCAGTGAGACGGAGTGGTCTCGTTGGGCCGAAGCCCTACAGCCTCCGACGGCGACTTCTGAGGGCGAAGCCGTCTACGCAGGCTGGGACTGTCCACAAGTATGCGCTCTGTATGCATATGCGCCCGCGCAACCTGATGAACTGCCACTGGCTGAAGGAGATGTCGTTAATGTTACTAGAAAGACTAGTGAAGGTATGTTTATTAATGAATATCTATTCTATATTAGAATATATATGCTAGTTTAGATTGTAAGGTATCAACAGGCTATAGTGGACTTCGTCGATGAGAAAAAATAAACGGCAAAGTTGCTTTTTAGTCTAAATACGTAATGTAGGTATCTGAAATACTGGTGTCAATACATATATCGTAAGCAAATTAATAGATTGCCAAAATTGTGAAGTGTTTGTTGTCTGATTATTGAAATTGTGAATATAATAATTACCATGAATGAACTCTCCGTAGGTTGGTACTACGGCGAGCGCACCCGCGACGGCGAGTCGGGTTGGTTCCCGGGCGCCTACACGGCGGAGATCGCCTCCCCCCACGTCCGCGCGCGCAACCTGCGCCAGCGGTACCGCCTGCTCGCGCTGTCCGGGACATACCGCGGACATAAGAAGCGGAACCTGTGACCGCCTGACACTATATCTACATACAACCTGCGCCAGCGGTACCGCCTGCTCGCGCTGTCCGGGACATACCGCGGACATAAGAAGCGGAACCTGTGACCGCCTGACACTATATCTACATACAACCTGCGCCAGCGGTACCGCCTGCTCGCGCTGTCCGGGACATACCGCGGACATAAGAAGCGGAACCTGTGACCGCCTGACACTATATCTACATACAACCTGCGCCAGCGGTACCGCCTGCTCGCGCTGTCCGGGACATACCGCGGACATAAGAAGCGGAACCTGTGACCGCCTGACACTATATCTACATACAACCTGCGCCAGCGGTACCGCCTGCTCGCGCTGTCCGGGGCATACCGCGGACATAAGAAGCGGAACCTGTGACCGCCTGACACTATATCTACATACAACCTGCGCCAGCGGTACCGCCTGCTCGCGCTGTCCGGGACATACCGCGGACATAAGAAGCGGAACCTGTGACCGCCTGACACTATATCTACATACAACCTGCGCCAGCGGTACCGCCTGCTCGCGCTGTCCGGGACATACCGCGGACATAAGAAGCGGAATCTGTGACCGCCTGACACGTTGCTGCTATATCTATATCTGCAAATTCTATTGGACTATTGGTGACTAATTAAAAACTTTGACATAGTATGTGACAAAATAGGTTGTTATACCGCGTAAACCTATTGTGATTTGTTTTTCTTCCAAAATATCTTCTTTATTGAAAAAGAAATAAGGTTGGAATTCTATTGGTTTATTAGGTTTTAAACATTGTTTAAAGCCAAAAATTATATTATAGGGGGTAAAGACAAATGTGTGTAAATGACGCGAACTGTATATTGTTATTATATAGCAGTGATAACATAGCGCTCTGAAAAGACAAAGTATTATAATTTCAATTCAAATTCTCATAATTTTTCAATGAATTCCAATTATGTGATTTTAATGAATTGTGTGTGTAATGAATATTATTTTATTATAAAATCATAATATATAAAATTCTATATAATTGAACATTTTCTAAGATATAATCAATGTTCTATCGTCTTATTTGGTGCTAAGTTGCCTTCATTCCTTTGGCACTAAATGCATTTATTGGGCAGCCGCACTGACAGATAAAAATAAATCGTATTGAATGAAATTAAAGACTAAAATGCTATGTAGAAATAGCTGGATATCATCACATTAGAATCTCACAATTAAGTTAGGAGATGGTCTCAATGTCGTTGTTATTGGTTAAGTACCAACAGGAGTGTTAACGGTTTAATTAAATTGGGATGTTTCCACTGAAAAAACAAAACAACTTAATACTACATTAGCCACAAATACCACATATAACGCTAGATAACTGGGACCTCCCGGAATATGTTTTAAAACTATCAATTTTTCACTAAGCGATTTCATTACACACTTAAGTTTTCAATTTTGGAAAAAAGTGTGTTATTGACGCAACTTATGACATCATAATATAGAATCTCGTATAATAATTATACAAAATAATCGTTTTATTCAAAAAAAGTAATTAATTTGTCTAGTTGGAACCATCCCAATTGTTTTGTAAAGACGTGGTCCGTCCAATCGCCTTAGTGACTTATATGGGCTTACAACTGTAGAGTATGTAGCGAAAAGTTCTGAATCGAGGTGCTTACTTGTGATAGTTTCACTATATTGCTATGAACAAACTATTCAAACGATATCGAATTACGTAACATTAAGATGTTACTAAGGTAAGAACCCTGTTTTATTAGGATATACCATGGTCGCTCTACCAACATGGCGCTACTAGTTGTCGGCAACCCTAGCGTTTGTTCTGACTCTGTAGACACCACGTCTCCTAGTAAAATTGGTTCTTAAATGTGTTTAAATATATCTTTCTTTTAACATTAATTATGCAATGACGAATGAAGTGTTATTAATATTTTTATTATATTGTTGATACCGAGAGCTCTGCTTACACTAGTTTAGTATAGTTATAGAAGTGTACAGTTACGTATGAGATTCGCGAAGTTTGTTGTACAGTTTAATTAAGACATTTTACTGATTAGAATAAGGTATATATTTGTTTAATGCTTTACTTGCCCGCTGTTTGAAAAATTGACTAGTCATAAGCGGATGAGTTTGTCAAGAAATTATCGAGTATTTTAATTTACATTCCTTGGCTAGCACTTAAGGTCTAAAATACAATGTAGGTGACCTATAAATTATATAGAAACTATTTGACTAATACCCCTCTATTGTCATTTAAAGGTTACCTACAGGGGTAACCTTTAAATGACAATAGAGGGGTATTGTGAATATTTTCAGCACCATATCATTTAACAAATAAATTCATGTTACGATGTATTATTGTATTGTATTGTACTTAAGTAAATTATTGTGTAAATAGATTTAGGAAACAAATGTAACAAATCATGGATGTTATATATTTATGGTATGATTATAAATAAATAAAATTTAATTATATAATGGCCTTGTTTTATTTAACTGTTCATTATTTATTTACCTTGTACATTATCCTATTACATATTTTATCCTGTAGTTTTCTAGCAATTTTACCGTGTTGCTAATTTTTGAACTGAATAGGTGCATTACAGTAAAATTGGAAAAGGAAAATGATAAATATAAGCTACTAGGCATTAATATAATTAACATAACAGCTCCAACAAGATATTTGAATTCAATATAGGTCGGTACTCATGACTCGTACACAAAACTGCGATGCGACTTCGCATCACAAAAATGCGAACGCTCTCTAGGCATCGCAAGAACTTACGAATCGCGCATCAAAATCTTCTTTGTTTCTTTTTCCTATGTCTCCTAAGCAATGACAGAAGGACACACTTCTTTTTACGATCTATGTCACGACCTAGTTCTCAATTTAAAATACGTGTAGGTAGTATGGTTGACGGTCGTCGAAGGAACGGTCGCCCTAGGCCTTGTCGCACGTCGCGGAGAACCTAACGGGTAACCGGGGCTCCGGCTCGACGTGCAGGAGAAGGAACGGGGTGGTTTTTAGTCAGTAAGAGTCTGACACTCCCTCCCGCCTCACCCAGGCGGGAGCAGTCAGTCGATGATTTTCCCCCCTAAAAAAAAAGGCCTTGTCGCACGAAATCGCATCGCAGCAATTCGCATCGGATTTTTTTGCGTTACGAATTCGCATCGCATCGCAGTTTTGTGTAGGTACGAGCTCTCACTCAACTCGCCAAAGTCAATAACTCGAGATCTTGAAGTTAACATTTGTTTCTTATATAACTCCTTGTTGAGGACCGCAGTTAGTGCTGTGTGCTGGCTACAGGGGTTGACACACACCTCTTTGACGAAAGAGGTATCGGTCTCGATTATTTTTTTTTTGGGTCATAAACTAATATACATTTTTATCTAGCATAGTTTTTTTGGATAAAACAAGATATATTTATTAGTTAAGGGGGTAAGTAGGGACCTTTGCTAAAAATCAGCCCATTTATAACATCTTCAACACATTTTTGTAATTTCGGCAAATATCCATAATTTTACTTCCAAGCACCCCACGATGCTACAAAACATTTATCACCAACCCAAGTATTCCTGCAAGTGTCGCCTTATGGAAGGGAAGTCGAATAGATACCAACCAATAGCATTCTCAAATAAACCTAAGTGTCGTAAACTATTGCCTCGTTGGCAAGCAAGTGCAACTGCAAGGCAAGGCGTCTTGGGTTCGATACCGGCCCAGTACAACACTAATACAACAACAAACAAACTATAATAGTATACATATAAGATTCTAACATCTAAGGCCAGCCTACCAACATAAGTTTCAGTAGGTTCCTGTTTCGGACTGGGCGGGAGGAAACGCCCGGGTGTCATCACTGCAAGGACCACCCAGCGGACACGGTGGAGCATACAGTGGCGGTGTGCCCTGCTTGGGCTGGGCACCGCTGTGTACTCAGAGATGTGATCGGCGACGGCGACCTCTCGCGTCCGGCTCAAAACCCAAAACTCAAAAGCATTTATTTCAATTAAACCATAATTTGGTACTTTTGAAACGTCAAGAAATATGAAATAAATAATAGTCTGTCCGTCAGTGAAGCTAGGCGCTCGTTCCAAAATGTCGATTCGAGTGGAGAAAAACGAAGAAACTCCATTTACTTTTTAAAAAAAAAGAAAAAGTCTGTTTTACACTGCTCTGATACATATTCCAATATTGTACACACATGTACGAAGAATGTAAAAACATACCTGACCCATCATACAAATAACAGAACCAAGAGAAAACAAATATCTTAAGTCTGACATGATCCTCACATATATATACTGACAATCCATATAAAATAGTGCTTCTATACAAGAAAAAAATAAAAAATATACTCTTGTTTAAATAAAGGAAGAAAGAAACGCTCGATGCCACAAGAAAAATAGATTGCCTTCATCGGAATCAAAGTATTAAATTACCTATTATCGGAATCTGAACTAAGTACTGACTACTTTTGAGTATTGTCCAGTGGAGCCGAACCAACACGCTGCCAAGCATTCCTATCCTCAAGATAATCAATCACTCTGTAGTAAGCTTGTGTACACAATTCGCGCTTAATGTATGTATGTTTTAAATTTGATTTCATTAACATTTAGTATGCTACTTGGTATTCTCAAGGAGCCATCAGACCACCATAGATGGGGCCCAGTAGGGCTGATGCCCGATACGGAGCCGCGGAAGGCCTAACGAGTTGCCGGGGATCCGGCTCGAAGAGCAGGACTAAGAACAGGGTGGTTTTTAGTTAAGAGTAAGTAAGTAAGAGTCTTACACTCCCTCTCACCAACCCAAGGCGGGAGAAGTTATTGGATGATTTGCCCCCTCAAAAAAAAAGCCAACCAATATATATATTAAACGTGTAAGTACCTATATACGACAATATTATGTTGCATATTTCGTAACGCATAATTTAATCGATATGTTTATTATGCTTTAGTTTTTCTTATCACACGTGACTTTTTATTATGATATGGTTGTTGCATTATCATTAAACTAAGTTTATTTAATTAATCCTTAAATAATGTAATATTTTTTTAGAATAGGTATATTTTATGTTGATAATAATTTATTGACTGCCTCGTTGGCCGAGTGGTCGCAAGTGCGACTGCCGGGCAAGGGGTCTCGGGTTCGATTCGGTCGGGCAAAGTATTACTGGGTTTTAAAAAAAATCTCAGTAGTAACTCGAAGTCTGGAATTGTGCCCGGTATATGGCAATAGGCTCACCCCCTATTACATGGGACTTATAACATAAATAGTGAAAAGTGGGTGTTACATTGGTATAATGTGCACCTCTGCCTACCCCTTCGGGGATAAAAGGCGTGATGTTATGTTATGTTATCTTATAATAATTTATTAATACCTCTATATTGTAATGATAAAAAAACGAGGACTCTACCAAAACCTTTACCGTAATGTCGAGAGAAAAGACCAATTTAGAAGTAGAGAATAGTAAAATAAACACAAAGTTTAAGTACTTTAACATTTCAGTTTATTATCATTATATGTATTGACATCGGTCATTCAATAGCAAACACACAGTTCGTTACATGTTCAGTTAACCTCACAGATTAACAATAAAATTAAACTAAAAATATTGTGATCATTGTCAAGCAAATAAATAATAAAAATCCAATTCTTATCAAAAATACTTAAAAATGTCGTTATTATATTCAGATCAATTAATATTCCGATCAAAAAATAAACTCTGAAAGGTTAAACTTATTAATTATATGTATAGTAAACAATTTAATGTCTTTTGTATAAAAAATGCAAAAAGCTTGTACTTAAACTATAAAACTTAATTTGTGCACTGGATTTGTTACTCGTTTTAAGAAATAAAAACAAAAAAATAATCTCATAAAAAAAGTGATAGGAACAAGATAGAGTAAATTGATTAGCATTTATGAACAATAGACAGTTCCAATTTATTAGCAGACCCATAAAAGGTAGCCATGTATCTAAGTGAAAAATAATTATATCAATTTTAACTTTAAAACTTTATATTAAAAAATATATTCTTTCAATATTAGTTCTACTACAATTAGCTAAAACTTGGATAACTAGAACCAGCCAACCCACAATGAAAATGAGAAAAGCTCCCTTTTCACATACATATCAACCTGTTAAAAATCTACTAATAAGATGGAGCTTCACAAGATCTCCTAAGTTCCTTGTTTACTGACGAATGCAAAATAACAAGCAAACAAAATGATGAACAAGAGAGATCTGCATTAATTTCAGTTGGAATGGAAGTTCAGTCGAAGAGTAACAGTTAGTAAATTCGTTAGTTCTGGGGAATGTAATCATATTCTTGTCTTAGATGAGTTCTCCTTCACTTCAAACAGTTTCCTCACAAAGTATACTTGTAGCGTAGCCGTGGCTGCTATAGCTAGGATTTGTATCACAGACCATCTGGAAAGAAAGAAATATACCAATTAATCTTTATTTATTATTTGAAAGAGCATATCATAGAAATATAGTAACTTTTATTTATTGTCCACATTTTTATTTTTTACTAAACGACCTGGGAACATTTCGTACCGCCTAAAAGGTTTTTTCTCACCTTTTAGACCTTCCCTGGACTTCCACTAACATTTCAAGACCGAAATTTGCTAAATCATTTCAGCCATTCTCGAGTTCTAGCGTGGACTACCGAATATAAATTTATTTTTATATAGATGACTTAGGAATAGATAAAAATGTGGCATTAAGAAGCGTTTTATTCAGCATGCCACATAAACATTATTTATATGTCCAAGGTGATTCAAGTGCATGAAATTATACATCAACACAAACAAACAAGTGAATATAATTAAATCATAACACAACTCAATTAGAAACAGAATCTAGGTAACAATGTGAGACCTAGACGTGTTGGAAGTACAAGATGAAACAGAATGCATAATAAATTCAATTGCAAATCATGGAACTATGCAAATACTTGTTTTATAAATAAGTTCTAATTATTCTTCTGTTAAATTTTCTTCTAATTTTCTTTACAAAAATAGCTAGTGATGCAACAAAATATTTCTAGCATGTTAATAAAGATGAAGACAAATAATAATTTAAGGGTGATCTAGTTTAAGTAATGTCATAAAAAACTGCTTACAAAAAATATTATTAGCGTCTTCAATTGAGTAAGTACACAACCAATTGAGCTTCAATGAATACTTTTACACTCTTCTAATTGGACTAAATAGATTGTTAGTGAAAAGACATACAAGCAAATATGTGCCATACCTAAAAACAATGTATGGGTTGTGTAGATCATTAATCATTCATTTAAATAAAATTCCATGTATTATTTATAGCAATACATAGGGTGTTGACTGGTGACCACTCCCCATTAACTCCATTATAGACCTTATTACCAACGTTTAGAGACTACTTTTGAATGACCAGATGTTTAGAAAAGTATAGTAGCTCCCTTTAATTCAAGAATATGTATAATAAGGAAAAGTTTCTTGATTTGTTGTTTGTAAATTGAGGACAGCACTAAACTAGGTCAAATGCACTAATTCATGATTTGATAAATATGATATCAGATTTGATAAAAGGTGTATTAAGTTAATGATAATTTCAATGATATATTTACCTGAGCACATAAACATTATTGTCCTGCAACAAGTTGTAGTCCCTGGACTCTCGTGCCCGGGAGTGGTACTGGTACTGCAGGATGTCATTGATGTTCCTTTCCACAAACTGAATTGAGTTCTGCAAACATGCAAATATTTATAATACTTGACTAATTAAAGTATCAGTGGGTCATCTTATCTTATTAGAATGTATTCAAATCTTCAAGTATACAAACTTCCTTTCGCAAAATGTTTTTAAAATTGTCAGTGCTTATTAGAAGGTCTGATTACTATAACTTTAAAAACATGAATTAAACCTAACTTACAGTGAAATTCTTAATATTCATGTCCAATTCCTCTACTTCCTTCGCATACTTCTCCCACATGTCGTATCTAATCACCGACAGATACAAATTGACTAGTTTCCCAGCAAATCTTGAGAACTGGTTATCAATGCACACTGCATAATATCCTCCTGAAGAGGATTGGTCGGCGTACTCCGCGCTCTGTCGCCACTCGTACGGGTGTACTATCTGACCGTTAGGGTGCCGCACCGCAAAACCGCACATTCCGTCGCCGCCTTTCAACACCTGTTGACATAAAGTTTACAAACTATTTCACGAAAAAAAGTTTCAGTTCCAAGCACTATGAAACGTTATCAACGCTTTAAGTTATAAGCTACGTTATCTAAGCCAATTGCATATCTTTTATTATAGAAAAGTCTAATTAGTTACCTGATAACTGGCATAAAATGTAGCACCCGACGGGACATATTGATAGTAACAGTCTTCTTTGCCTGCATCTATGTGTACTTTGTAGTCCATCGTAACAGCCGGCATATTCTCGTACCAAGGTGCTGCCGACTGAGATAAAACATCTCCAACGATAGATAAAACTGTAAATATTAAAGTTATCACCGTAAACATATGCCACGTCCGTTGTGCCATTTTTGACTTTATCAATGAAAATGCGAAAGTGACAGATACATGACAACAACACGAGGAAATCGTCGACTGTCAAAAAGTGAAAGGTGATCGTTCAGAAAGTATTGGAATTATTGGTGAAACGTCATTCTCTTGCTTCGCAAACCTCAATTTTGTAGAAAATGTAAAAAGTTATGTGAACTTATGTGTGTTCATAACTATTATGTATGTACATAACTATTTCGTTAATGAAGCCTCCAAATAATATTAAATTAATTAAGTATGTAACTTCAAAGAATGGACAAGAGACAAGGAACGGGGCAAACAGCTGTCTAAAGTGTCTAATCAAATGTCAATCCACCAGAAATATAACCTATAATTTTCGGAGAATGTTATTGAATTATTCTCAAAACTTTCAATGAAAACGCTTATAAAATCTGCTGTAATAAAAATATAATGAAAGCCAGATACTTAACATTCTTCTCATACATAGGAACGCCTTTTAGGTTTGTCAGATTTTATTTGTTTACATGTTTCTAATAACCAAACAAAGCATACAAAAATATCTATATTTCAACTTTCAGGTCCTCTGAGAAAATATGGCTTAGGGAAGGTCGTAACCATCCAGATCCTGAAAGTGTACAGGGTTTGATGGAACTAGCGCTGCTGAAATTGAGGTCTCTCAATTATCCTAGCCTGGTCCTTTCCAGCCGGTAAAAAATTGCATATAAAAATTAAATATTATGAAGTACTAATATAACCTATGACCTAGATACAGTTATTCTGTTTAACTATGTTACAGTACAGATGGTGGAGTCCACGCATTGAATACTAGTGCACACTTTGATCTGGAAAGGTTTGGCTCCAAGATATATGAACCTGAAGGGATCACTTACACTTTGAACAAGTTCTTCTACAACCACAATAACAGTATATTTGTTAAGAAGGTCATTAGAGTACCTGACAATTTTAATGCTAGACACAAGGCAATTGGCAGGAGTTACTTGTACAGGTATGCTTATTTTTTGCATAATTATGTAGTATGAGTATGTAATATGTCAGCAGGCGAATTTTCCTTTCTGTCGAAATATTACATTTTGAACTTATGGAATTGATATAAAGTTGATAATTCAATGAATAAAATTTACAGATTGGATTAGATTGATCTTCTGGCCACTGAACTATGTACTACTCAATTTAATTCATTGTTCAATCCCCAAGTGACCACCAGTAACGACTCTCCACTAACTCAATTAAACTGTCAAACACCAAGCGGTCACCGGTGACCGCAACCTATTGTTCTATAATTGTGTCTATAATGACGGTACTCGACGAGTTAAAGACCTTATTTCCAATGTTTAGAGACTACTTTTGTATGAAAGGGGATGATATATCAACATATTAATCAATTAATTACTTATATACTTTATATCATTATTTCAGGTTAGCTGTAAAAAGAGATGGCATTGTTTTGCCTGAAAATGTAACTATAGCTTCTTATATACCCATTGAGGAGTGGAAGAGATGTCACTTTGTAAGGTAGGATGCTACTATGTAATTTTGTTTACTTCTTATTTTTTAAATAACCAACTGCAAACACTAAAATGCAAACCATTAATTAAAGAATTAATTAATTAAACTGTGAAACACCGAGCGGTCACCGGTGACCTCAACCTATTGTTCTTTAATTGTGTCTATAATGACGGTACTCAACAAGTTAAACCTGCTAATAATTGACTAAACATTTAACAGCTCTTACTCACCAACTTAGAAGTAGATAAACCTAACAGTACCTATAAGTACCTTTGCTACATCACCATCACACTAAGGATCTTTTGGTTAAGAGATGGTTTACGGGATGGGTGGTTGGTTAAATAAACATTATTTTTCAATATTTTTCATTGTCAAAGTGATAAATATGAAGTATTATATGTCTGTATCCATTTCAGATTACCAGGCTTCGACATAGAGAAATTTAAAGAAGCCACAAAATATTTTATTGGTATCCATGATTTCACGACATTCAAGAAGTTTGACAAGTTAAAACAACACAAGCACAACAGGAGAGAGGTCCAGTCCATAGTGGTGAGACCTGGTAAGCCACTCATTACCAGCTACCCTCGAGAAGATGGTATATTTGACTACTGGGATATAGAAATTAGAGGGAGAGGATTTGTGCATAATCAGGTAAGTAATCTTGATGATAATATTGGTCCTATTCAAACACCCTTCACTTCAATAATTTCTAAACTAAATTATCTCATTTCAGATACGCCGCATGGTAGGAACACTAAACGCCGTGGCGATAGGCAAGCTGCCTGCTGAAGAAATAAAAGTGATGCTACAGGTGCCTTCCAAGCACTCCTGGCATAACTTCATACAGTCCGGTCCTCCTGACGGCCTGTACCTGTGTGATGTACATTACAAGCCTGAAGATCTCATATACAACCCAGAGAGCAATCAAGAAAAAGAAGAGTGTCTTAGTGATAGTGAATGTGATTGAAAGACATTGACAAAATCTTGAATAGAAACAACCTATTTTTCTGATATAGCTAAATAATGTTTTAGCTAAAAGTAACTAGACAAATAACAGCAAAATAGACCTAATTAACTTGTAAAATAAGGTTGATTTTCGCATTTAATAACATTTTAGCTTTCCAAAATGAGTTTTCTCAGCCAACTACAGAAACAAAAGAACAAATTGAAAGAAACTGAGACAGTTGTAACAAAAGTCGATGGAAAACGGTACATAGAGAAAGATACTACAGTAACTGCAATTTCTTCTAACAGTTATGGCTTTGTAGTTGACACGAAGCCAGATAATGTTCCAGTACTGATATCTCATTATTTATACATAGGATCACAAGATTGTACAGCCCAAGAAGTGATACAATCATATAACATCCTGCATGTACTCAGTTTAGGTATAAACATTCAAGTTTCAGTCAACAGTAAGTTCATCAAGTGCTTGGATTTGCCTGAAACTAGTATAAAAGATATATTATTAGACAGTTTGCCGTTCATTCGGAAGGCTGTGGATGCCAAAGAAAATATTTTAATTCACTGCAATGCAGGCGTTTCTAGGACTTCTATGGTTGCCATAGCTTATCTAATGCATTACGAAAAAATGAATTATCAAGAAGCTTATGAGCTTGTGAAAGCTAAAAGGCCTGCTATCCAACCTAATGATGGGTTTAAAAAACAATTAAAGTCTATGACGCCTGGAGAAATAATTTGATACAGTGCAATAGATTTTAGACTTTGTTGCTTTATTAATAAGTGTTATATTAGATGTAGTACTTGTAGATAGTAAATAAATAAAATGTATTAATAAATAACACTGCATGTTTAATTGTTTACTTTTAAAGAGAAGCGGCACAAAAACATTCATTTGCTCTTTTAAACATGTATAAAAGAGGTTACAATAAAACAACACTGGATACAAACAACTAATGTAATAACTAATAAATAGGGCAGTTTTAAGTACATGAGCCAAAGAGTACAAGATACGGGCCCTGTGCCACTCGTATACCGACTGGAAGCGAGCGTTACATTACAATTACTAGATTATTATATTGTAGCACCAAGTTCATAAGTTGTCCGCAGCACTTAAACTTAATCAACATGTTTCATATAAATATTTGTATGTACAACTGTTTATTGGCTATAGAAGCTATGTTATTATCATTTATTTTGGCAACTGTATCATCTTACACTATACACGGAGTGCTAGTACGTCATAGATAACATTTTCACTTATGCCCTTTTACAAGAATAATTTTATTATGGAAGATAAATTTTAGTATTTATATCGCCAATCAACACTCGAAGCAAAAGCGCTGGATAAATAAAATAAGTAGTTTTTCAGCAACAGTAGCTTACCGGTCATCAAAATTTTAACGGATATTTGTACATAATAAAGTACCTACCTAATCAAATTCAAATGGAAGACAACTACTAGATAACATAGTAGAAATTACTTGTTAGAAAAACTTATATTGTAAATCGTAAAATATTCCCTCTTAACTGCAAAAGCGTTGAACACTCACGTTTAAAAAAAGGCCAATATTATAATATTTTACATGTCGCTATGACGTACTAGTAATCTAAAAAAAAAATGGGCGATGGCTTAAAAATACATGTACCTTCAACATTTACCGAACTCTATAGAATACATGTAGATATAAATGTGTATATTCAGTGGAGATATTCATAAACCATGTTAAAACAATACAAAGTTTGTTTCTTGCATTAATTTAAACAATACATTTAAATTCGGTGGCGTTTTCAGGCGTATCCTTCAATAAAATCTGATCAATTAGATAACAATACAATTATTTACAACTAGATTATTTATAGTTATAACTTGTATAATGGACGTTATTGGTTTAGTTTATATAAGTTATTATATTATTCTGAAGCACTAAAAAAGGGCCTAAAGCTTCGCAACTGATAGCAAAAATCCCACCCTTAAATTATTATCTTTCCAGAATGTTCGTAAATGTTCAGTTGTTCTCTTCAGGCCCAGCTACAAGCAAGCTGTAATGTTACATAGCATTAAACATAATCTAACAAAGAAACAATTTGGTTTACCAATGAACACTTGTTTTTTTGGTGATAGCAACATCAGGTTCAGAGAGTGACAGTTAACTAAATATTACATTAAAGCAAATCTTATTACTGTTACAAAACATGATAAATTGTGCTTTCAAAAAATGCGAGATGGCAAGTTAAGTACTGGTTTACATTTAGAAACTAAAGTTAAATTTTAGGGAGGATGTTCAGTATTTAGAAATGTCTCACTTTTGCTCTTTTTCTTTCAAGCTCCTCCCCTCGTTTAGTCAACTTAAAACTACTTAAGACTAATGTCATTCGCGTTACAACCATTTATAATGATTTTTGAGACCACAACAGTACATAATAATTTTATTATTATTTAGAAGCACTGAACAGGACGGGAATGTTAATTTTGAATCACAAAATACTTTCAACCAAACATAAATATTAACTGCTTTGTATTCTGATGCCCGAATACTGAAACGTTACTCAATTTTAAGTCACCCTTAAGTATAGTTCTGTCACCACTAATTCTTTGTAAAATGACAGAGATGGCACGATATTTAAGCATGACTTAAAATTGAGTAACGTTTCAGTATTCCGGCATGAATCCTTCCGCAGTTCATGCTGTACTGCGTTCAAGTTTTCAGAATATATTTAGTACCTATTGTTAGTCCGTCAGACACGCAATAATAAGTAGCTACGACCTTTGACCAGCTTTCAGTCTTCTAGCTTTTACATCTTCATAAAATCTCAATTTGTCAAAAAATCTTACAAATTATTTCGTACAATAAATGTTAAATAAAATTATTGATTAACATAAATTAGATAAAAAACGAGTTTCACTCTGGAGTCAATTATTTATAAAATTCCTTTCCAAATCCAGTTATGCAAATCAATGTAGCTTGTGTTTTTTAACATAACATTTCGACTTTTGTATTAATCCATTATACATTTCTGAGTACACTTATTTATATGATAATTTAAAACAAAACGGACGGATAATGTGTCCTAAAAGAACGCAATAAAATCAGCTCAAATAAGGAGTCTGTATGACTAAATAACTTTGTTGCTTACGCGTCAACCTGTACATTATACTACTACTAAACAAAATTGTAAATATCTATTGTACTTTAAGCGCAATAAAACAAACTTATCATGTATAAGGCACTAACATATTGTAACAAATAAATAAATTACTTATTAATATGGACATTAAAAATTGTTTTTACCGTAACTTTGCCAAAATTTGATTAAAATTGTAAGCAATATACATATTATTCATACAAAATACTTAGGGATCGAATTACGATCATAAAATATTTAAATTTTTAAATATGTGCAGACGACTTTTATGCTTTTCCGCATAATGTTTTAGGAACTATACATACACATGCATAGGTTTCCAAACTAAGTACATACATATCATACAGTTTAAGTTATACATATGTATAGCAAATCGTATAAATTGAAATATACACCGAGAATTTGCAAAGTATAGATTCTATCTGATATGAAGGATATATAAGACGATAAAATTAAATTCCTTTATTCTCGTTATAAAGAGGAATGTGGATAAAATATTCTAAAACCTATTACTATACTTTGTGAGCATTTTCAATTTTATACATAACTGTACGTCGTTACAACCGCATATGACTTGGCAAATGATATCAAGCAGAATATATTCAAGCTTAATATAGTACTTGCATTGCGCAAACGATAAACAACACTGCGCAACTTAGCGCAAACGGTTTGCGCAAGTTCCACTGATCTTTATATCAATTCAAATATTTCAATGTTTCTAAACATTATGCAATTAATAATATTTTACTTTTATACATCATTTATAATAATGTGAATATTAATTCTCTACGTTAACAACTTGATATATTATGTAATAATATGTATAAAAATGCATGTTTCAATACAAGTCTTATATTCAGTCATAATGTGTATGTATGAGTGTATGGCTGTTTGTATTTAATATAATAAGTAGACTTCATTGAACACTGGCGTAATATTTAACTCAAGAAGTTAATGAGCAAGCAACTTTTGTACGATTATCATACATTAGGAGTCCATTACGAAACGGAAGTAACTCAGTTTTCTTTGTAATACTTTCCTATTATCCTGTGCAGGGATTGTTCGTAACTTACAGTTAGAAACTCTTGAGCGTAAGTCCCCGTGCAGGCAGACTGTTGGCCTTGGCGGGCGCGTCTCTGGCCTGAGAGTGCGCCACTGCGATGCTGAGACACTGAACCCACTCCTCAGCATTCTTTCCATCTTTCGGCTTCAGTATAAGCGTCTGGTCTCCTGTGAAGATCTCGAATGCCTTGGGAATGTTCCGCGCACCACGTGATACCTTTACTGATCGAATCTGGTTTATATCGATACTTTCGCCGCCGCTCTGGAATTAAATATTTTAATAAGATTCTAAGTCTGAACACATCTTACATGGATGTTTTGCCAAATTAAATAAATTCGACTTAGAAATACTCTAATACACTACTATAGTACAATTTTTCTAGTTAGTTCATGAGAAAAAGGTACAGGATAAATCAGGCAATTATTTAAAAGTCTATGAAAGCAATTCGAATTATTTTTGAAAATAAAACGTAATTCTTTTGTATTTAAGATTCAGTATTTCCCTTCAAGTGGTGTGTTTAGTGTTTTCCATTGAGACAGCATATGCACAGTATATACTTACCGATCCTTTACAAGAGAGATGTGCCCCGGAGAGTGTGAAGTACCTCGTCCTCCACCGCCGGAAGATCCTCCAGCGTCCCTTCTTCTCCTTGAGCTGTCCCTCAATGACGGGCGCGCCGTCGGCCGCCAGGAACCCCACCGCGCGCTCCGGGTGCGTGCATAGGAAGCAACCCCATGTCGCCTGCGGAGTATCATCATATCTTTATGTCAAATAGCGGCAATCGAACAGACGAATCACTCAAATGTAAGCAATCGGAGTGTGCGTGTGAATCACTGGTCTGGATTGAATTAGTTCCACTCCAACATATTGATGCAACTTTTTGTATGTATACCTGAGTGGGTGGTAGTGCGGCGCCGTCGTTCCGTCGCGCCACTACTTCGAATACGTCGAAAAATCCCGCAGCGCGCAACTCATTTAACAACATTTCTTGTTCCTGTAAAGTACAGTAAAAACATTATTCAAATGAATGATATTTTTTCCGTAAGAGAACGACCCATGCTAAATCAATTAATTTATAATTGTAATACAGAAACGTTTGATTAAGTATTTCCTTTGTTGTCGTCTTCGTCGGCCACGATTAAGGGCTCCGGATGGGCTCGAAATTACAGCATGTAAAATAGACATCATTACAGACAGATATATTTTTTAAAAAGAATACTTGGGGCGTGATCTACAATGGATACCAAAGTCAAAAATATGGTTTTTAGAATTTTTGTCTGTTTGTCTGTATGTATGTCCGGGATGATCTCAAAAACTATTGCATGGATTTACTTCAAATTTTGCATGAACATTATTAACAGGTTAGGTCAACATATAGGCTATATATTATCACGCTATCATCTACGGGGGAGGAGCCCTATACTAGGCACTGAATCAATTCTGACGACATTCGTTACCGTAGAATATCCCTTGATAAAGACTAATTCAAAAGCGTAAATTCTGCCAGAAGTCATTATTCTACGCGGAAGAAGTCGCGGGCAACAGATAGTGTTTATAATATAATATTGACCTTGATTCCGGGGAAGGCTCCAGTAACGAGCGTGAGGAAGGTCTTGTTCTCGCACTTGAGTATGTCCCAGCAGTGCTTGAGCGAGGCGACGGTGGGGTCCCGCGAGGACAGCGCGGCCGGGTGGCGCGCCTGCAGCGCCAGGAACATCAGGTGGATCCACACGCGCGGCTGGCGCGTGCGCAGCGAGAACGTGCCGCGCGCGTACAGGCAGTGCGCGCCGCGCCGCCCGCAGACGAACATCAGGCGCGCCTGCTTCTTGGAGCGACGCTCTGTACACACTCGTACACTTACTAATTATAAGAACGTGCCGCGCGTACAGGCAGTGCGCGCCGCGCCGCCCGCAGACGAACATCAGGCGCGCCTGCTTCTTGGAGCGACGCTCTGTACACACTCGTACACTTACTAATTATAAGAACGTGCCGCGCGTACAGGCAGTGCGCGCCGCGCCGCCCGCAGACGAACATCAGGCGCGCCTGCTTCTTGGAGCGACGCTCTGTACACACTCGTACACTTACTAATTATAAGAACGTGCCGCGCGTACAGGCAGTGCGCGCCGCGCCGCCCGCAGACGAACATCAGGCGCGCCTGCTTCTTGGAGCGACGCTCTGTACACACTCGTACACTTACTAATTATAAGAACGTGCCGCGCGTACAGGCAGTGCGCGCCGCGCCGCCCGCAGACGAACATCAGGCGCGCCTGCTTCTTGGAGCGACGCTCTGTACACACTCGTACACTTACTAATTATAAGAACGTGCCGCGCGTACAGGCAGTGCGCGCCGCGCCGCCCGCAGACGAACATCAGGCGCGCCTGCTTCTTGGAGCGACGCTCTGTACACACTCGTACACTTACTAATTATAAGAACGTGCCGCGCGTACAGGCAGTGCGCGCCGCGCCGCCCGCAGACGAACATCAGGCGCGCCTGCTTCTTGGAGCGACGCTCTGTACACACTCGTACACTTACTAATTATAAGAACGTGCCGCGCGTACAGGCAGTGCGCGCCGCGCCGCCCGCAGACGAACATCAGGCGCGCCTGCTTCTTGGAGCGACGCTCTGTACACACTCGTACACTTACTAATTATAAGAACGTGCCGCGCGTACAGGCAGTGCGCGCCGCGCCGCCCGCAGACGAACATCAGGCGCGCCTGCTTCTTGGAGCGACGCTCTGTACACACTCGTACACTTACTAATTATAAGAACGTGCCGCGCGTACAGGCAGTGCGCGCCGCGCCGCCCGCAGACGAACATCAGGCGCGCCTGCTTCTTGGAGCGACGCTCTGTACACACTCGTACACTTACTAATTATAAGAACGTGCCGCGCGTACAGGCAGTGCGCGCCGCGCCGCCCGCAGACGAACATCAGGCGCGCCTGCTTCTTGGAGCGACGCTCTGTACACACTCGTACACTTACTAATTATAAGAACGTGCCGCGCGTACAGGCAGTCTAATGTCTATAATTATCATATCTACAGAAGACTATAGACTAAAAAGAAAATGATTTGCTTATACATTTTCCCTATTACACAAAACAAAAACCAATACTAACCTTCGATAGTACACTTAGCAGGCGGCGGCAGTCGTAGCGACACGTTGTCCATGTACGCCTTGATCTTATCCAAGTGCTTCTCACAGAAGTGCTGCACAGTATCCCTCATGGGGTATGGCTCGAACACACTGATCCTATGGTTGGACGCCGACGTATTGGTCGAGCCGTTGTTTGTATTGATCATAGTCACACTAGTGTTGTTGGCCCGTCGTGACGTCACTGTGACGGGCCCTGAGATTGAGATCGGGTTCGTAGGGCTCACCGATATAGGCCCGGACCCCGGCGTACTCGATGTTACAACTGATACATTCCCTAACGCTGTGTTGGAGTGCTGGATAGATACTGCGGATGTGATCGGTGTCAAACCATCTGATGATTTCCCCGGAGTGAGTGGGTTCACTGATATTGACTGTGTTGATAGAGGCGGTCCTGATACTATTGTTTGGTTGTTCTGTAACGAAAAATAAAGCAGTTTAGGAGATAGCTGGGTATTTTGTAAACCTGTCATCATTACCAGCCCACAAAGGGACAGGTATCTGATGTAAAGCCTGTCAAGTGGGGGATCATGGCAACCTCTCCCCTGTTTAGGGGAAGGGGAGGGGCTTCTGGTTTAACAGTGGACTTCAAGACATTGGCGTCGAATTTTTAAGTTACTTAATCTCTCTCTTATATACTCACGGGTCCAGCATTGGGTCCAATGAGTATGTTGTGGTGGTGGTGCGGGCGGGGCGCGGGCCGGGGGGCGCGGCCCGGGCCCACGCTCGTCACTGTGATGGCCCCGCTGGCCCCGCTGGCTCCGTTGACCCCGTTGACCCCGTTGCCCCCGCTGCCCCCGTTGGACTTGCCCACTACGCCACTTGACGATGATGAGGGTTTGCTATTTGCTACTGGACACACAATATCATACACTTCAATAAAATTAAAATTCTGATGAAATTAATAAACACCTTTGTTTATAACACCTGAAACCATTGTTGAATTATAACTAAACTTATAAACTTTAAATATCCTTAATTTATTTCCAACTAGCTTCTGCCCGCGACTTCGTACGCGCAATCCCATTTTGCCCCCGTTCCCGTTCGTGATTTTCGGTAAAAAGTAAAAAAGTATCCTATGTCCGTCTCCTGGTTCTAAGATACCTCCCCGCCAATTTTCATCCAAATCGATTTAGCCGCTCTTGAGTTATAAATATTAAATAGTGTAACTAACACGACTTTCTTTTATATATATAGATTACCAAATATGCACGATCGTGTTACCTGTACTAGTGGTTCCATTGGGTGGCGTGTTGATTTGTTGCGAAGATGACAATCGCGTCATACTCTTGTGGAGACCACCCACTGAACCTCCTGTAATACAGCATCGCATTGTTAATTCAATTAGCTATGATTATCACGTTAAGATCAAGTTTGATAGAGAAAGGAATATTAGATTACGAAGAATCATTCCCGTGTGGGTACGCATTAGAATCGTATGTGCACTGTGCTGCATTCGGCCAATAAAATAGATCGTCAACCTTTTTTTTTTGTGAGTTCATAGTTACAACCATCGGCTTAATTCCGTAATTTGTTTTTTAACCCAGTAGTGATGAAGTCGTGTGCGAATTGCGGTATTAATTTCAATGATGGGGTGCAGTGTATGGGTTGCAAGAAGCACCTAGATTTTTCTTGTGCTAGTGTGTCTGAGACGACATGGAGAAAAATGGGGTCGGACCGAAGAGCACAGTGGAAATGCCTCGCTTGTAAGTCGTCACCTGTACCTCTCTCACCACAGCCTTCTGCCTCGTTGGATACAGTGCTGAGTGAGATTCGCGAATTGAGGCAACAGTTATCAAGCCTACCAACCTTAGTCAGCAGTATAAAGTCTATCAAAGAAGAATTGATTGAACTTAAGAAGAGTTTTGAGTTCTCCAGCGGTAGACTTGATGATTTTGACGCGAGGCTTGTGGAGTTGGAAGTGAAGGCATCTGAGTTTGATAATCTAAGGGACACCGTGTCTTCGTTACAAGCAGAAGTGGTTTCAACAAGATCTGATTTCTGTTCTTTTGATCATAGAACGAGACTGAACAATGTCGAAATTAAAGGTGTCCCCGTGAAGAAAAATGAAAATCTGTTTTCGGTTCTCGATGCCATCAGTAGCAAAATAAATTATAACTGTCCTAAGACCCAGATAAACTACATCTCAAGGGTACCCATACATAATTCTAAGGAGAAATTGGTGATCGTGAGCTTCTTAAACAGGTACATAAAAGATGATTTCATAGCGGCAGCTCGTGCTAATAAGGAGCTTTCTACCAAGGACATAGGTGTTCAGGGGCCGCCACATCGCATATATGTCAACGATCATCTTAGTATAGAATATAAAAAACTTTTAAATCGAGCTAAAACTGCCGCCAAAGAAAAACAATATGAATTCGTCTGGGTGAAGCACGGTAAAATTCACGTAAGGAAGGATGTTAACTGTAAAACCTTCATAGTTAGGCGTGAATCCGATTTAAACAAAATTATTTAGTCTGTTATTATTTACATTTAGTTTCTGGATTGCCGAGTTTCGTTAACTTTTCTAAAAAGTGTCGATGTCGTCACAATAAATTTAGTTTACTTAATTTTAGTAAAAGGTTTAGCACCTCTGCATTGATAATGATTCAATTTGACGTTCCATTTCGCAGTACTTGTAGACGAGATCTGGTACATACATTTTATATATCCGCCTCACTCACGCATACGCGAATGGTATGCTATTGCTTGCTTGCTCTCGTGATCATGTTCGCCCAGATGTTAGATTATATAAAAATTCCATTTACTTTTATTTACTTATACCTGCAATATAATTTATTAACTCTTGAATGTTTAACATTTAATTGCCCCAATAATTATTTACTAATACGATTATTCTATGTTGCTTTTGTTGACTACTCGATTATTGTTATTAAAATATGCAATGGTTAATAGCAGTGCATTAAAAATATTCTATCAAAATGTTCGTGGACTTCGAACAAAAACTAATTCCTTCTACCGTCAGCTTCTACAGAGTTCTTATGATGTTATTATCATAACGGAGACGTGGTTATTGGATGGAGTACTAAACTCGGAGCTATTTGATGGTCGCTATTTGGTATGGCGCCGTGACAGAGATTATGTTATGACCGGCCAAACGAGAGGTGGTGGTGTACTTATAGCGACGCGCAGGGAATTGTCAGTCACTCCAGTATCACTTTTGCATTCATCAGCGGAGGATCTCTGGATCAAATTGCAGCTTAAGAATTCAGGGTCACGAGAATACGTCAATTTATATATTTGTGCAGTGTATTTGTGTAAACAAAATAAAGGGTTATCATTCTCGCAACAGCTTAGCAACTTCCTTTCCAAATTAAACAATGCAATTCTACATAGAACAAATACCGACGTATTTTTAGTCTTAGGGGATTTTAATATGAGTGGTATCACGTGGATACCTTCTAATGATCATTCTATGGCCCCGTTAAATCCCACCACTAGTGACGAATGTTTATTTGTTGATGAGCTATCTACAATGGACTTAGTACAGTTTAATGGGATTGCTAACGGGTATGGCAAGTTTTTGGACTTGGTCCTCTCAAATAAGTTAGCCTGTGTTAGTGAATGTGTTGATCCTCTAGTACCTATTGACCCGTATCATCCTGCATTATTAATTAATATTGATATCTTTGAAATACCTCCCCTTGACCATGCGCCGCGCTTGCGGTATATTTACAGTAGGGGTGATTTTGAGTCTATTAATGGAGAGATTGCTGCTATCAATTGGGAGGCTGAATTTTCGGTTCGGTCGCTTGATGAATCAGTAGATTTTTTTAATGGTACAATAAAATCATTAGAAAAGAAGTTTATACCACAAAAGTTAATACGCAATAATAAATATCCAGTATGGTTCAGCTCGTCACTTGTAAAAACTATTAAAGAAAAATATAAATACTTAAGAAAATTTAAGATATATGGTAATAAATCAGACGAGATAACTTTCAAATGTTTACGTGATAGAGTTAAGACTATGGAGGATCTATGTTACAAATCATATCTGACACATACTGAAAATTCCATTAAAACTAACCCTAAACACTTCTGGAGTTTTGTTAAAAATCGCCATAACTCTAATACCATACCTAACACATTGAACTACAATGGCAACACGTTAGTTACTGGGGATTCTATCTGCGAGGCTTTTTCTTCTTATTTCATGTCCACCTTCCTCTGTCGCACTTCGTCTGATAGTTCCTCACGAGTCCCGGACGCCACCTCGACTGTTATCGGTAATTTATCTGACATTTACCACATTAGGACTGAGGCGGATGAAGTAGCCGCTTTAGTACGTAATCTGGATCCAGCGAAGGGTGCTGGCCCTGATGAAATATCGCCTAAATTACTTATAAAATGCGCACCTTCCATTGCCACACCTATCTCCATACTGTTTTCTAAATCGTTGACTCAAGGTTTAGTCCCCAAAATATGGAAAGCCGCCTTTATTACGCCGATTTATAAGAAGGGGTCAAGAACCGAGATCACTAATTATAGGCCTATCTCCAAATTGTGCATTATAGCTAAGATATTTGAGAGGATTGTCTACAAACAGTTATACTCCGCCTTGGCCAATTCATTTAACTCCTTTCAACACGGATTTTTGAGAGGGAGGTCTACTATCTCCAACCTAATTCTTTTTAATGACTCTGTCACGGATGCCATGGATAAAGGTAAGCAAGTTGATGTGGTTTACACAGATTACAGCAAGGCGTTTGACCGGATTGACCATGATATCCTGTTACAGAAGCTTATTGACACAGGCATCAGCGGCGACCTCTTGAGGTGGTTCGCTTCATACATCGACAATAGGTCACAAGCAGTAGTACTCAATAACTACATTTCTAGCTGGGTAAATGTACCCAGCGGAGTACCTCAGGGATCGTTGCTCGGTCCTTTTCTATTCGTGATCTATGTAAACGACATCAACAAGTGCTTTCATACATCCAAACTTTTATGTTTTGCTGATGACATGAAACTGTCAGCTACTGTCTCAACTCCTGACGATGGTCTGGCACTCCAGGCGGATTTGCATCGGCTTGAAGAGTATTGTCGGATGAATAAACTGGATCTCAACCCATCTAAGTGTTCCGTAGTCACTTACACTAGAAAGCGTACTGTCCATGTCACTAATTACACTTTAGCGGGTCAGCCCTTACCAAGATGCACTTCTATCCGTGACTTAGGCGTCCATCAAGACAGCAAATTGGTTTTCGATACACATATTGATGCAATCGTCAAAAAAGCCTCTAAACTGCTAGGATTTATAATGCGTCTTTCAAAAAATTTCACTGATGCAAAGACCCTTAAAATATTATATTGCACTTATGTCAGGAGCCAGCTGGAGTATGCGTCTCAGGTATGGAATCCAAGATATCAAAAATATATTGACCGCGTGGAAAACATTCAAAAACGTTTTATAAAATATCTCTGTTTCCACCAAAATATACCATACCAGTCTGCCCGTTATCTTGAACTCTGTAGAAAATTCCATCTATTACCATTGGTAGATAGACGCAATATTGCAGATTGTCTATTCTTGTTTAAGGTTCTTAACGGCAATGTGGATAGTCCAGAACTATTATCAAAAATCAAATTTAATGTACCTAATAAAATATTTAGATTTAATCCACCTTTACACGTATCCCGTTCCTCATCTAACTACAGGCAGAACAGTTACATTGTGCGTGCAAGCAGACACTTTAACAATGTTTGTAAGGAATATGACTTCGATCCGTTTACAACTAGTGTGAACTCGGCAAAGAGGTGCTTAAGCCTTAAATTTTTTAAGCAGCACTAGATCTTTAGTTTTTTTTTTTTATCGTTTCTCTTGATCTGTTCATAATCATATTGTCTGTACGGTCTGTTTCAATATTTATTTTTTTCCATTTACGCAGAATGTATGTATTTTTAATATTGTATAGTACTCACACCATATTAATTAATTTATTTCAAATGTTAAACGTGAGGACTTGTTATTGGCTCACTGTTACCTACGCCTATTGTTATTTTTATCCATTTTTATATGCTGTAAGTCCTCCATGAATTATAAATAAATATAAATAAATAAATAAATAAAAAGAACTCAATATTACCATAATATGGTAAATTAATATTACCATAATATGGTAATATTGAGTTATTATTATTATAGTTATATATAGTTATATAAAAAGTAACTATAAGAATAATATTATTATTATAGTTACTTTTTGTTATACTTAGGACAGAGTACAACAAAAAGTAACTAGTTAGAAATAAGAAGACAAATGACTCACCAGGTACATTGAGTCGAGTCATGCTGCGATGCGGCGCGGGCCCGGGGTGCAGACGGCCCGTGCTGCGCGAGTCGCCCAGCTTGGCCCGCCGGCCCCAGCCACTCGGCGCGGGCGCAGACCCCGCGGCCCCCGGACCGCTCGCAGCCCCCGCCACGCCCCCTGCACTACTTCCCGTACCACTGCCAGTCCCATTCCCCCCTCCCCCCGCACTGCCACCACCAGACCCCGTATTGCCGCCCCCCGCGGGGATCTGTCCCCCGCCCAACCTCACGATAGTCACCCCTGTTGATGTTCGATTCACTTCGCTCTGACTCGACCCGGATTTAGGACGATTGCTGTTGAAAAAAGCAAGCTGTTATAGTACTATTTACAGCTAGTCTCTTTATTTGTAACTCTTATCTTTGTAGCCAAATATATTAACAAGATAAAGGAGAAGAGGAAGAGACTAGAGAGAAGGTTATTGAGCCTGTGCTTTAGACTGCAAAATATAATATTAAGTATAGTGTACCTGGTGTTGGCTCGCACGGCGGTGAGCAAGTTATCAGTGAAGAGAGCGGGGAAGGCGCTACACAGCGAGGTGGCGTCCCTCAGTAGCGCGGCCTGCAGGGCGCGCGGCGCGGAGCCTAGTCGCTCTACCACGAAGTTCAGTGCTTCCTGGGCCAACTCCTGCATACAAAGAACTCTGTCACTACCTGTATCAAGCACCCTACGATGCTACAAAACATTTATCACCAACCCAAGTATTCCTGCAAGTGTCCTTTAAGGGAAGGGAAGTCGAAAAGATATTTAACACGGACCAAGCAATAGTGTTCTCAAATAAACTAAAGTTTTGTATACTACAAGCTCAACCTGCTAGCCAAGCATGGAGATAATGGTGCCAGTGGTTCCGTGGACCGTATGCTACGTTTCGTTCTCCCGGCGCGCTACGTACCCTGCTGGTGTACCCGAGCTGAGTGAGTATGTTGGCGACGAGCGTGACGGCCCGCGGCGAGGCGTGCGGGGCCCGCGCCGCCCGCCGCACGGCCGCGCCCTGCTCCGCCACCAACGACACGCGACTGCGACTCAGACTCGCTATCACCTACATAAACATAACAATTACACTTGGTCATACATGTCCAATTTAACTTGATCTTCGTGATATCTATATTGTCCCAACCTGCAGTATATCCACACACATGCAGCCTGGATCACTCTGGCTGGCTGTATGGGGACACAAGTAGGACAACAACTGTGGCACACATGTCTTCAGAGCCTCTGGCTTGCGAACTGCAATTTGCTCGAACAGGGCAAACAGGGAGCTCTTCTCCACCGGCTCAGCGTGCGGGAGTAACGACACCAGTGCTGGAGTGTGACCCTCGAGCGGCTCCGGAGACACCTCATACAGGTTCGTCAGGATCCGGCAGAGAGGGTAGTTACCTACCAAACCAGATAAATTCTGCAGTAAAGTAATCACTTTCATGGAACAGTGCCACATATTTGAAATTAAAAATAAAATTGTCAATTTCCTTACTAACCTGACATAATGGAGTCCATGATAGTCTGCACATGTGGCTTCAGCAGCACTGCATGATGTACGGCGGCCAGAGAGAGGTACCGCGCCATATGGCGCGATATCTCTCTGTTACCTTTGTGCAAGAACTGGACAGCCACTGGCAGGAACAGCTCCATTACAGTTTTGTTGCCATAGTTCTCCTTGTCAGACTGAAGTGGGAATGATACCTGAACAAAATTATTATAAATATGTCATTAAATCAACAAATACAATTGAACTCAACTACACAAAAAATATTTATTACTTTACTTAACAATTAACATGACACTAAAATTCAATGTTTTCAAAGTCACTTATGCAAATTATGTCTTTTCACTTAAAACATTTAAAATTTTGAACATGGTTATAGACAAACTGAAACTTTATACATACCAAAACAATGCATGCTATGATATCTGAAGCAATCTTAGCATGAGGTGGATCATCGTCCCGGAGGTGGCCGAGGGGCATCAGGTTGTGGTGCAGACAAGACTCCAGCAGTGCCACTAGAGGCCCGCAGTACTTGTCCAGGGTACTGGTCTCCTTCACACAGGATGTTACTCGTGCTACACATATTTCTATCAGAGCCTGGTCTCGGTCGTTCCGACAGTAGTCTGGTCGAGATGATATCTCAGTTATTTGTTTCAACTGAAACCAAACAACATAATATTACTTTGAGCATGCACTTTAATCTTATCAATAGTGACGCACACTAGAGATTTTGACACATTCACTGTGATGATAAGGAGATTATCTTACAGTAGTATCTACAAAAATATTTGTTCTAATTCAACAGTGACCTAGTAGCTAGTAGTGAATGCAATCAACATCATTATAAATGTATCATTGGTACATGCATAGCACTGCAGCATTGCTGCAGATGATTATGGCACTACTACATTGAGAAGAGTGACAATATTTACATAATATTAATATTTACATAGGTGAATGAATAAATACATTGCAACTAGGTAAATCTTACAAGTAGAATCAAACAGGAAAATTTTAGCTTATAAGACTAGCTTTAGTAGCTACATGATTTATATTTATTTTATTTATCAATAGTTAATTGAATTCTGAGAAATATGATTCATAAATTTAATTCAAGTGGCCTTTCTGTCTGGCAATACAAAAAACTGCAATAATTTAACCAACAAAAGAACTTTACAACTATACTCTGTAGAATTAATTCGAAGCTAATTTACATACTTTTCTAATTATTGGTACTGCATACAAACGGGCTTTACAACTTTTAAATACAAGTAAAACTTACGACTTCGTTGAGATCGTCAACTATGTCCGCGTCAGGGATCGCGAAGATGTCTCCGGCGCGAGTGAGGTCCCGCTCCGTCAAAACATGCTTCAGTAGCTCGTGCATCGTGCCGCCGCCCTGCACAGCCGCTAGGTCGCACCTTCACCACACCGTAAACAACATTCACCTAGAATAGCCCATCAATGGACACATCAACAGTCACCGCTACACAACAACTTTATCACCATCATTTATTGCACGCAATATGCAAAACCGAATTTTTAATGTCACATGTCTAACTGGAAGATGCACGAACGTACAAATTAGAATACAATAATATGAAACACCGAATTTTTAAGGTCTATTGATGCAATGCAGCAGGCGAAATACGTTTCGTTTCGTTCGGAAATATGACTGTCAATCAGTCATTGAACTTGCAGCTAGAGGTTATATTTAGGTCCACTGGAATTTCAGTAATGACAATAATGGCAATCATTCACAAAAGCAGCAACTGCACAAATGGTAATAAATGCTGCTCAAAATAATATTCAAACCATAATAAAAATAGTTATTAAAGATTATTTTAAAACTTAGGAAATTTACTTAAGTTAAGAGTCGGCTTTACACAATTGTACTTCATGATTTCATGAATAAAAACATGGATATGACTACATATTTTTTCTTAACTTCACCTTAGTAAGAAACTGTAGTTTAACTTATTACTGTGCAATTGTTGAGAATTGAATTTTGTCGTCAATAATTTAATTCACTTTATTTATTAAGATTTAGTAAGCTTCTTATTCCACCCAGGTGTCTCACGTCCCTCACGTCATGCTAAATGCTAATGTCATGTCATGTCATCAGATCAAAATATTTTAGGTTATATTTTGGTGCATTGCTCGCTTGATTTCAATTACATTAAAATTAAATAAAAAGTAATAGCATTCTTATCTCTTAGAACAAACAATACAATCTGTAATAGTATTTATAATAACTATGTACACTTTAATTTATTCAACCTAAAGTTGCAAAAATCTAATCTGAATATCAGTTAATTTAGTTTTTACGCTGTATATTCACGGTGCAGACTGCAATGAATTAAGTTTAAGTGTAAAATACTATCTTTAGTCTAGACAATGCCTGTACCGTGCAGAAGGGGCTGTGGCAAAAATGCTGTCTTAAAGGTATTTGTTTATATTATAGTTTTAACTTTGACATAAGGCATTGTGAATCGAAAACTTATCTTGATAAACTTTAATTATTTCAGAGACCAAAAACAGGTGATGCTCTATGCAAAGAATGCTTTTTCTGGGCTTTCGAAACAGAAATACACTACACAATTACTAAGGCAGAATTATTTAATAAAGGAGATTCAGTTGCGATTGGAGCTTCTGGTGGAAAGGACTCAACAGTTCTTGCTTATGTACTGAAGACTTTAAATCACAGGTACAACTATGAGTTAAACCTCATGTTGCTGTCCATAGATGAAGGTATCACTGGATACAGAGATGACAGCCTTGAAACTGTGAAACAGAATCGAGACGACTATGAAATGCCTTTAAAAATATTATCATACAAAGATTTGTATGGCTGGACTATGGATGAGATTGTGGCACAAATTGGAAGGAAGAACAACTGTACCTTCTGTGGAGTATTCAGGAGACAGGCACTGGACAGGGGAGCGGCTATGCTTGATGTGAAGTGCATAGCAACAGGACATAATGCTGATGACATAGCTGAAACTGTGCTAATGAATGTACTTAGAGGGGACATTGCTAGGTTGAAGAGATGCACAGCTATTAGTACTGTAAGATCTACAATACCACAATAATAAATAAATAAATATGCTCTAATTTGTTACTTGTACTAATCTTTATATACATTTTTTTCCAGGGCAGTGAAGGCACAATACCAAGGGTAAAGCCACTTAAGTACACTTATGAGAAAGAGATAGTGATGTATGCCCATTACAAGAAACTGGTCTACTTCTCTACTGAGTGTGTGTTTGCACCCAATGCATACAGAGGGCATGCACGAGCACTGCTCAAGGATATGGAGAAAATTAGACCTGCTTGTATTATGGATATCATTTATTCAGGTGTGTAGAAAACCTACAAAAATAATTTTATTGCCCAATGATCCAAAGGCATAGCTGCAAATGTTCAATTTTTGCTAATGTTTAATAGGTGATTATGATTGCAGGTGAAACCATGTCAGTAAAGGAACAAGTCTCACTTCCCACTCAGAGGACATGCACTCGCTGCAACTTTGTGTCATCACAGGAAGTGTGCAAGGCATGTGTACTCCTTGAAGGACTCAACAAGGGACTGCCTAAACTTGGCATAGGAAAGAGTTCCAAAGCAAAGAGGATGCTTGAAGAGTATAAAGCAAAGCAGGCAGAAAATGAAGGAGCACTACAAGATGCCATTAAAGATTTAAATGACACAAACAGTATAGGAGTTAGAAATCAAAGAATCAGTAGTAAAAAGAAAAATGCAAACAAAGAGAACAATGATACATGTAATAAGAATGATTGCTGTGGGGGAGGCTGTAAAAGTAATGCTAGTAATGTTGATCCCGTAGCAAGTAACAAGAAACTTAATATGCTACTTGAACAGTTTGGGCTAGATGAGAAAGAAAGTGTGAAGAAAAAACCAAGTCTAGAAAATGGAGTATCTGACCCAAATGATGAACATTCTGATGAAGACACTCCATTCAATGGACAGGAGGAAGATGACACATGTTCTGCAAGTTGTGGAGGATCACATATAGCATTCTGACATCAATAAAAATCATGAAAATACATACTTATTTAACTTTTATTAATTTCATAAATCACACCACTAGGCTTAATAGTATTGTTATCCCTATCTGTGACTGTGAGGTTCCAATCCATCTTATTATTAATTTATTATTATAAGCCACATTACCGACATGGTACATTGTACTATTACACATGAATAGCAGTCATAGCACCGGAGTATACAAAATCAGTTCAAATACTGATGTAACAAACTTACAACATGTCAATTTGCTATTAAATACATATAATTACTGATCAACATTCCTATAATACTATATTATAAAATGTTAAAATACAGCTTTTATGATGGTCAATGGTCTGATATTTGTTTTAAATGTAACTAAACTATTTTAATTTGCACTGTACAAACTGTCAACACCTTTCTATGAACTATCTCTACGTAATGAAGGCAGGCGCTCTGGATTCTATCTTCTCCCGACAGATGGGGCAGTGGTCTGTGATGTTGTCTGAGCAGTCCTCACAGAGACATACATGTCCACATGGAAGTAGGATTATCTGGAAAAATGGTATAATTTCCCACTTAAAGTAACCAGTAAACAATGATAAAAAAATCTATAGATTCAGTTCAGACTAGTATTAATTTTGATCTTAACTCATTGAGTACTGTCATTATAGACACAATTATAGAACAATAGGTTGCGGTCACCGGTGACCGCTTTGTGTTTGACAGTTTAATAAGGATTATTAAACTATTATTATTATTACATTATTTTGCTCTCAGTACTACGTGAAAACTGATTTACCTCTTTAGGATTTTCTGTGCAAACCACACAAAGTTGTACATCAGCAAGGTTCTTCTCCCGCGCATGCGCTCTCCGCTCGCGTCGTCCGGCAGCGAGTTGCTTCTTCATGGAGTCCTCGAGAGCGCGGCGTCGGCGACGCTTCATATACTTGTACGCCACGCGACATGATGCCGCCGCCGCTACCGTGCCGAAGATTACTAGTAGCACCCTGATACAATTATTATAAGTAAGAATATTTAGAAATATTACCAGTACCAGAATTGTGGATTAACAGTTGGTAAAGTAACTCATTCAGCATTAAACACACACCTCAAAAAGTCGCGCGAGCTAGCTAGTCGCTTCAATAAGCTTGACTTAGTAGCTGTAGTCAAATACAAGGGGAGACCATCTTTCGGTGGCTGTATCTTCATCTCCCCAGAGCTACTTCTGCTGAGCTCCCCTATGGCCGTGATGTAAGACCCGTCGCGAAGCATCTCCTCCATGGTCTGCAGCCCTCGCTGTCGAACGCCGGAGAAGAAACCCCACACATGATCAATGACACCGGGCGACATTGGCTCAAACTTATCCGAAATGACATCCATGTCTGTGAAAATAAAAGTAAATACATTATACATATTATTTAGTTCTTTACATATCCAATTAATGTTGTATTATTATTTTTTATTTTGGGTTTAAATTTATGAGTTCAAACTCAAACTCAAAAGCATTTATTTCAATTAGACCATAATTTGGTACTTTTGAAACATCAACAAATATGAGATATATAATAGTCTGTCAGTCTGTCCGTCAGTGAAGCTAGGCGCTCGTTCCAAAATGTCGATTCGAGTGGAGAAGAACGAGCAAGAAACTCCATTCGTTACTCTTTTTAAAAAAAGTCTGTTTTACATTGCTCTGATACATATTCCAATATTGTACACACATGTGAGAATAATGTAAAGACATACCTGACGCAACATACAAATAACAGAACATACTAAAATAGAAAAAAAAACAAAACCAAGATAAAACAAATATCTTAAGTCTGACATGGTCCTCACATATGTATACTGACAATCCATATAAAATAGTGCTTCTATACAAGAAAAAAATAAAAAATAAACTATTGTTTAAATAAAGATAGAAATGCTCGATGCCACAAGAAAAATAGATTGCCTTCATCGGAATCAAAGTGTTAATTACCTATTATCGTAATCTGAACTAGGTACTGACTACATTTGAGTATTGTCCAGTGGAGCCGAACCAACACGCTGCCAAGCATTCCTATCCTCAAGATAATCAATCATTCATTACTTACAAAGTTACTGTAGGGGTTTTTTTTAATAAGGATACTTTCAAAAGTATTATAATCCTTTTTCTTACCAAGTAACTCGGCAGCCAGAGCATCCACCACCTCAATGCTGTGCTTTCCATTGCTAAGTACAAATGGTGTGGAGTTGCACACTTCATGTATTGTGCGAGTCTGGTCTGACCAGAAACCCGCAGATGTTCTGGCTATTACATGCTCTTTGATTGTGAGCCTGTAAAAACAAATGTAATAATACCAAAATTAATATAATGCATAGTTTACTGTTTTCGGGTGGGTTTTGGTAGTTATTTAATTATCTTCATCATCAACTGCTGAAAGATATCCAATGCTGGACAAAGGCCCTTATTCGTATGTCATACTTATTTAGTTGTTTAAACAGTTCCAATTGGATACTCATCATATATATATTTTTTTAAATTAATTAATTTTATATTTACAGTAGAATTGTAGGTACCTACCTACATAAATAATTAACATTTTATTTTCATTATTTCTAATCTACCCTCTATAATTAATCTTATTGGAACAGAAAGCTAATTAGAATTTCACAACTTAGCACCTGCTTTTTGCAGCACTTACAGTTTCTTAATGAAAAAAGTTATATTTAATTCTTCTTTACTCAATTAGGTGTTACCTTTGCACAACTCCAGTAACAGAGTTGTTATAGTTGCTGGTGATAGGGTTGCCCAGAGGTTTCACTAGGCCTCTGATCACCACATATGGGATGGTATTGTTCGAGTATTTGTTTATTTCCCTATTCAATGTTGAATCTATGTCTAAAACTGGTGCCGTCTGAAATAAACAAGTTAAAAACTGCATACCCACATGGTAATTATATGAAGTAGAAATGATAAGACTATTATTTACTACATACTACTTTAACTTCATTTAAAACCATAAAAAGATGAAATTCTCTTGAATTTAAATTGCTCTTTGGCTAACCAAACTAAAACTTGGTTGGTTGATATTTCGTCATGCTGTTAATATGAACTTATTACTGTAGGATAAATAGTTTTTTGGCGCTTACCTGTAGGGCATTTAGGATATGTTTACATTTACTCAGCTGTTTTACACAGAACCCCAAAATCAGGGTATCGATACCAAGAATCACTGTTTCGCCGATTATTTCCGAAAAGAAGTCCATTGTGGTTAAATTTTATTTTGTGCAGTTATACAAAATATTAACAAAGATATTACGCAACTAATTACACCGCTTCAGCTCATTTTCGCAATAATTTGCTTAATTTTTATAAGATTCCCCAATCACAGATAGATTCTCACTTTGACCGTTTGACGTTTGCGTTCCGTTTCCGTTTATGATCTCTATCATATTATGTGATGGCGCCTATGTTGCAAAAATGTGAGTGGAATGAAACATAACTTCAAAAAGGCGGTTGCATCAAACTAAATAAGTTAGGTACTTATGGAGGTATTCGTAAAGATTGCATTTACTTACACCAGTTTTATAGCGTTTACTCATCCGGATCCGGAATAATCGCTTTGCTACTGTAAGGGGCCTACGGGTCCAGCGCTTGATTAAAGCTACCTCTTTTATTTTTATTTAGTGTTCAATCATCAGTCTAGATTAAAGAGTAAATAAACGTGTCTTTTATCTTCCAAAGTATTAAATAGAGAATGTACATAATGGGAAACTTGATAATAATTTGGGCCACTAGAGATTCAAGTCCGAGACCATTTGCTCGACTGTCGTACCAGCCATAAAAAATACGGCATTTACACAAATGCCGTATTTTTTATTATCTCATGTAATGTAATTATAACTTTATTCAGGTAAAATAACGATACAGCATAACATTCCTTATTAATTTATTTAGAATAGAAGTAAAATAATTGATAAGTGGCAGTTTAGTTTCGTCTCCTGCGTACCCTGGATATTCTCCAGGCGTTTGGTTCTTCGTATTTATTGTAAAGAGGTTCTAGCCTCTGGTTCTTCTTGAACTTGGACAGTTTGGTCGGGTCGGAGAACTTGAAGAACGCCGGTGCGAACTCCACCAGCCATTTTGGATCGATGGTAGTCACCTCACGCATGTACTCCTTTGTTGTTTGTACGAGCTCGTGGTAGATAACCCTGTTAGAAAAACGATGTCGTTATTAAATGGTTAAAAATAACTTACAATACGGGTACTATCACTTCAAGCTACTAAATGCCTTTAATAGATTTTAACTTTAATGTGTTGTGATAAGGTCCAAAACTATTGACATTTTGTATACAAGTACAGAGAGAATTAAAAGACATTGCCAAAGTTATTATTCACGATGACTTACCATTCAGGTTGTCTATTGAAGAGCGCACTAGAGGGATGTATGTAGACCACTTGGCTGTCGACGAGAGTTCTATAGCCCTCCTGTGGGTCCTTCTTGGCCGCGTTCCTGAAGAAACCGGAACATATCGTTTTCTGGATGCGAACTGTGTTCTTTCCCGCCGATACCACGTCCAACTTGTGCCTGTTGAGAGATAAAATAATATAAACAATTTTGAAAAAAAAAAACTAAATATAATAATGAGTATTGGCCACTTTTGCACACTTACTTCGTATATTTATTCTATTTTTATTTAAATCTTAACTTTTTTATTTTATTTTAACGGAACTGCTTCGGACAGTATTATGCCCGGTTAAACTAGAGATGGTAAAGATTATATAACACGCGTACTTTGCTTTTATCATAAGTACATTACGCTTCGTGGGCCGCAAACAATGACTTACAGATTTTAAATTTTTATACACGAAAAGAAAAAAAATGAGCTAACTGGATAAAAGGAAGAATTTTGGCAGAGTTTAAAAATTACATGAAATAAATAAATAAAAATCTCACCTATCCATAATCCCTAACAATTGTTTCCGTACGTCCTGCGCACGTTTCAGTGTACGTATCTGTACAAAGTTCTCATAGCACCATGCGTTAGAGAACTTGTTGTTTCTCCAGCTATTGTAGACTGCCAGTAAAGTGAGGTGGTCTCCCTCCGGCTGGTTGAACTTGGCTTTCTTCTGATCTGCTAATGCTTGCTTATCTTTGGGACGATAGAACACATTCTGCACGCTCAACATCGACACTATTGTTAGAATCTCATCCGAACACTGCAGTGCTACTGACATGATCAAGATTTTGGACAGATTGGGTTCGAGCGGGAATTCCGCCATCTGTAAGAAGAAATACAAACTAATTTGAAATAAAGAGAGATACGAGATTAGTAGATCGATTTGTCACAAGTGCCACTGATTCGCAATGTCTGGTTTTTCGATAGTATTTGGTAATAAAGGCTCAGCCTATTACGTGGGGCTGTGTATTGAGTTTTTTTTTGTTATTTCTTATATTTATTTATCGATTTGAAATATAAAATGCATACCCGTCGCCCAAGCCTAGTCAGTAATCCTTCAGAATCGAGCGCGGACAAGGAGTGCAGCTGTTCTAGCGCCATGATGAGAGACTCGACGGGAGGCGCGTCCATGAAGTCGAAGTGAAGGAGGTCGTTGATACCCATCGTCTTCAGTTGCAACACCTGAAATAGAAAAGTTGTTATATTTCATTCCAGAATAAAAATGATAACTAAAAGTCATTTTATTATTTTCAAGAGGTTGAATTTAAAAAGATTAGTAGATTATTTTATACTATTTTTATAGAATCAAAAACATCGTGGAAGTGTAGTATGACATTATTCCTCAGTTCAATATAATGACGTAGCGAGCCCATCCCCTATATTGTAACAACAACTAGTTATCTATTTAATACAAGTTTAATATTCTTTCTTCAATATTGAACCATCATGTTTAATATCTTCAATTTTCATACCCTGTTCAAATGTATCTTTTGTTTATTACTTGAATTACATGATTTGTTAAACTAGATGAAAACGCGAGTAGTTAAATACGTACAGTGGTAGCAAGATTGGTGCGTTGTATCTCTGGTACTGGAGTGGGCAACATCTCGTCCCTGTACGCACGCTCGGTGTACAGCCGGTAGCACTTGCCCGGGCCTGTACGACCCGCACGACCTGCTCTCTGCTTGGCTGCAGCCTGGAGGAAAAAATAATATTATATTTTAGACATATTCTAGAGGAAAAATCATTTCCAGTATAACGAAGAGTAGAGCTCTGGTAAAGTCACTCGTATAGTGACTATGACGGTTGAATGCGAAGATTTTCGCTTCGCAATCTGTGCTTTGCTATTGGAAATACTTAAGATCAGTGGTAGTGGATGGAAACACAGTGATGATCAAAATTAAGTTGCGTTTATGTAACATTAAGGAAACACAGAATATTAGGTAAACGTTAACTTACCTGCGAAATCGGTGTAACCACCAAGGAGTCCATACCAGTCTTCGAGTTATAAACTTTTTGCTTCACAAAGCCAGGGTCGACCACGTAATAAATTCCGTCTATAGTCAACGAAGTTTCAGCAATGTTGGTAGCTATGACGACTTTTCTGGAACCTGGAGGTGCTGGTTCGAAGATACGCGTTTGCATTTCAGACGGCAGAGCTGAATATACAGGTAGGATGATGAGTTCTGGCACATCAGGGCCTAGAGACTTCATTCTCTCGTATAAGATCTCACAAGCAGTGTCAATCTCCTCCTGACCAGTCAAGAAGAGCAAGATATCTCCCGGAGGTTCCCTTAAATGAATTTGCATCACAGTGATCAAGGATGCATCCAGATAATCCGTTTCTGGTTCCTTAGTGTACAAAACTTCTACCGGGAAGGTACGACCAGGGATGGTGAAAATAGGAGCTTCGAAGAAGTACTGTGAGAATTTGACGGCGTCTAATGTAGCGGATGTGACAATCAACTTGAGTTCTGGTCGTTTCTGGACAGCCTGCTTGAGTAGACCGAAAAGGACGTCAGTGTGTATGGTGCGCTCGTGAGCCTCGTCCAACATGATCACTGAGTAGCTCTTCAAGTCGAGGTCCATGAGACACTCGCGGAGTAACATACCGTCTGTCATGTATCTGAGGATAAAATAAAGACATTTAAAAAAGATCTTTTAACAACTATTATTAGTATTCGGCGAAATAAAATTGCTCAAAAGATGGAAGGATATTAATTTATTTGTTTCTTGTTTGGGGATCACAAGACACTGATTTCCATAGTGCATGTGGGTTTGGGTGGTTTTTTTTAAAAGTATCAAATACTTACTTGATAACAGTCTCAGGGCTGGTGCAGTCTTCGAAACGGATGGTGTACCCGACTTCCTGTCCGAGCCGGCACCCGAACTCCTCAGCGACTCGCTTGGCGACGGACATGGCGGCCACTCTCCTGGGCTGGGTGCACGCTATCTTACCGCGCGCCGTCAGGCCACACTCCGCCAGGTACTGGGTGATCTGTGTCGTCTTACCCGACCCTGTCTCTCCGATAACTATCAGGATTTGGTTGTCGGCTACAGCCTGGGTTATAAAGAACGTTTATTATTGTTTGTACGTTATACGTACGTGCGTACGTTACTTCTTCGTTGGTTAAATTACAAAAGTCAAGCAAGAAATTCGACTCGATACCCGGGTGGACAAAATACTGACGGCAAACGAGACGGGACTTATAACAAAACTAGCGTAATTGGAGTTTTCCATTGAAATGTGTACCTTTGCTTAGCTTGAAAATAGAAAGACGTGATACTATTTTCATATTATTAATAGCTACACAAAACATGAAAAACACTCATCTCATACATACCTTCGTCAATTCATCCCTCAGCTTATAAATAGGCAGTGACTGCCTCTGCTCCAACAATGACAAATTAGTTTTCTTGCCAAATGACGACTTTTTGCCACCGATCACATGCTTCTTCCATTCAGGCAGATCCTGAGGAGTTATGCCAGTCCCTCTCATGTTAGCAGCTAGAGCTCTACCGTCGCTCTCTGGGAGGGGATCTATCCAGTTCTTGTTGAGACCCATGGGGAGGCTCTCCATCTCTTGTTCCCTCTGCAACATCTTCTGTTCTCTTCTTTCTTTGGAGAGAGCTGACTGCATCATGGCAGCTTGAGCAAGAGATCCGTCAGGGTTCTTGACAATCCTGACTGGAGACAGGTCGTGCAGTGCGCGGCCATGACCTTGCAGGAACGGTGGCTCTTCTTCTACCAGCTCTATTTCTATGTCAGCCTCACCATCTTCGTCTTTGGGCAACAATCCTGTCTCCTCATCAAAGTCTGGCAACTCACTCTTATCTATTACTCCTGATGATATCATCTGGAAAGAAGATGTTATTATATTATGATGATCCTTCTGACTATACTGCCTGCATGGTGAGTCAAGTGTTTGTAAGTGCGAATGCCGAGGTAACGGTTTCGGATTAGACCGCGGATCGGTATTGTTCGATTAAAGGATATATTCAGTTAAGTAAAAATCTGACTAGAATGATGCAGTGCCAGTGCTCAAACTAAACTAAACCTAAAATGAAAGGTACATTTAGTATGTGCCCTGTTAGCATCTCCCAATTACAGAACAATAGACATTGGTATAATGTGTTCTAATTTTCTTCTTACCTGTTTGATCTCCCACCTCTCAGGACTGGAGATTCTGGTCACCCTCTTCCTGCTGGAGTCCTCGTCTGGATCGAGCCCACCCTGCAGGCCTGCCAACACGGTGGCGTTTGGAGGAGGACGGTCGGGGTTACGACCTTCGCGTTCAGCCTACAATGTTAAATAAGTGTTAATATACATTTTCGTAATAGATTTCCGCAGGATTTGATACTAATCAAAAGACAAATTAACTGTCATTAAAAATAAATTATTGGTAAATTGTTCACCTCTAGATGAGCATGTGACGTCGGGTTCAGATCTTTGCCAGTGTCTTGGCACACGTCCTTCATAGTAAGAGACACCTTCTGTCCAGTTACTGAGAGCACTTTCACCTGAAACAATACATAACTTAGATTTATGAAGATAGAAAGAAGCCTTGATGGTTGAGCAATTGCAGGTGCAACTTCTTACCTTGACTTTATCCCCTCTATTGACGACATCAGACACATTGGTGACGCGTCCTTCTGACCGCAGCTGAGAGATGTGCACCAGGCCCTCCCACCGCTTCCTCACTCCCTCAATTTGTACAAAACAACCAAATGGCACAATGTTTGCTACTCTGCCATTATAAATCTGAAAGAAAACAATTACATTGCAGTAAAATAAATGAAAATATGTATTACCTATAGTTTTCAGTACCAGATTCAATAAGACATATCAATTATTGCTATAGGTAGCAGGTAAAGAGGGCCTTATGAAAACCTTGTAAGACAACATACAATAAAATAAAATGATAATAAACATGACTAGAAATGTAAACTTACTTTCCCAGGTTCAGGATCATCACTCATTTCAACTTCTGGACTCCTCTTCCTCGGTTTCTTGCCATAATCATTGTATTTATGTTCTCTTTCTCTTGATGGTGACCTTCTACTTCTTGATGGAGAATTTCTTCCTCTTGATGGAGAATTTCTTCCTCTTAATGGGGATGTCCTTCCTCGAGATTTGGATCTCCTATGCCTATCCCTTGACCTGTGACGACTGGAAGTAGGACGGCTCCTAGATCTTCTCCTCCTATCTCTATCTCTACTTCTACTCCTACGGTCTCTACTATGGCTTCTTCTGTCTCTACTTCTACTACGCCTACTTTTTCTATCCCTATCTCTCTCTCTAGATCTCTCCCTTTTTCTACTGGTTTCTTTCCTATCTCTGCTGCGACTTCTTTCACGTTTTTTTACTTCATCTTTAGTGATTTCTTTTTTTAGCGGTTCCTTTACAGAAGTTGATTGTGAAGGTGCCAGAGCCTCTAGCTCAGCCATGGCTTGATCTACCACAGCGTCATTTATCTTAGTTTTTGACTCTTCTAGAAATATATCCTTTGCAGTCAGTCTTTTGTCCTTCTTATCTTCATCCTCTTCTTCACTTTCTTCATCGGATGAGAATTTGGGAGGTTTTTCATTAGGTATTGCAAGTCCTGGAAACTTATTAGCCAATGGGTTTGCATTCTCCTGTGGTGCGGTTTTTTGTGTAGCATTGTTTATGGGTTTCATATGCTGTATGATTCGCAGCAAGTTGGTCATAAATGAATCTGAGAATTCAGCTCCATTTTCAATCAAAGCTTTCTTGAAACCATCAAATGCTGGGTTTTTATCAGCTATGTCTATTATGAACTCAGCTGTAAAGTAGAAACATACACTAATTATTAACTGCTCTATTTGAATTTAATTTCTACTAATACCAATGTGAAAGTCCTTCTCAGAATTTGAAAAACTATTTAGATAAGTAACACGCCTTACAAGAGAAATGACACATTCTAAATTAAGTGTCTGTTTCTGACTGAACTACAAATAGGTTGTGTACAAATGCTTATGTTTATTAAGTATATTTAACCCCTAATAAATTATGGTAAAATGGAGAAAAGGACTAAGTGGCATGTTAATTGACATGAAACCAAACAAACATGTAACCAAATCGATGAAGAAAAGAAGGATACTAAACAAGATGATCACAAAAGATGCAACATAAATAAGAAACACACAAAACCACGCAACTAAGTTAGGATGTACTCACCTAAGTCTTTGTCATTTAATCCTAAATGATTGTCCAGCTCAGTACACACTTTTGACACAAGTGAAAGATGCTCTAATTTAGCAACTTCATCCATTTTGATTTGATTTTATAAGAAATACACATAAAAAATATTCACCATTTCACAAAAACAAGACACCAGAATCACCAGTTGTCCAGTTGACTTTTACTAAATGCCAAAATGACAAAAATGTTGTAATGTCAGTCAAGTGTCTTTTTTTTTGTTCAGTGTCAATTTTAGGTAGTCGGCTCTACGGTTATTGTTTCTTACAAATTAAATAAATAATGCTTTTTTGTTGCATAATTTACTCATAATTATTCTCAAAATTATCCAAGATATTCAGATATAATTATGTTTACTGAACTAAAAAGAGTTGATAGTGTTAGATTTAGTCTTTCTGTATAAGTTATCTGTATTTGGTTTTTGACCGGGGTAAAAGTCTAATAGTGAAAATGACATTGACAATGACAATCATGACATAATGGATGCAAAGGTGTATGCTGGTGATTTTGCCTTTGCTGTCATAGTCAATAGTTTCGAATTTATTTGGTAGCGTTTTAGAAAATTATGCATTTAGATAATTAACATTTAGGCAAGTGCGTTTTATTAATTTGTGTTCGACTCATGCCACTTTCATAAGATGGAAAATAACACAGATCATTCTGAACAAAACAACTTTAGTCCTATAACTGTGCAGGACGTAGATGTAGATTTTTTACCGATTGTTTACGAAATCATACGAAGGTACTATATGTAGTGGTCTTATTTTTAGAAAATACGTCATTTATTTAGTCGTTTTTATATTATAAGTCGTAAATAACCTTTGTTTTGTTTAGTGTTGAGAGGGACTTCCATGACAACTCTGCAAAGGCTAGGGAGTCTCAAGACTGCAGTCAGAGGGTGCTCGAGCTGCAAAAGAAGTTTGACATAGCTCGTACGCAGGTAATAACAAAATTGTCATCTAATCATAACAATACCTTACTGTTGTTTCGTACCTATCTCTTATCAGTCAGGATTTTAGGTTAGTTTACATAACTACTGTCAAAGTTAAATAATGTGGTTTGTTACAGATAAAGCGTTTGCCTGGAATCGATTACAACAAGCAAGATCAGTTGAAACAGTTTGAAATATTGAGAACACAGCTGAGGTTGAAGCGAGAGCTTTTACAGAAGTATCGGAATATGTGTTCATTTGAAACTTCATTCAAGTGACTAATTTATTACAATGCCTATTAGAGCTTTACTAAGGTATCTCGCCAACAATGAGCACCTTGTGCAGAAGATTGCAGAGTCGTATCCCATGCGGAGAGCTGCACAACTTGCAGTGTCCGTGTTTTTCAGGGGGAAGGAAAAGCTGTCTGATATGGACCCTCAACAAGCAAATAGAATCATGTCTTTCATTAAAAAGTTTAGCGAAAATTTAAGGGAAGGTATTCAGGATGCAAAGAAACAAATAAAGAAATAATGTATATAATTTAGTTTAGTCAAAATACTGTTACATACATACAACTACTAATTATGTCTTTTTCATGTGTAGGCATTAAATAATACTGCAAAGTTAATCTGAGCTAGTTTTATTTCACTCACTCGGAACAAACCATAAAAATATTCATTTACTTAAACTACAAAATCACATTATAATGGTACTGTGAAGTAATCAAATACTGAATTATGATATGGAGTAGAGCAGCTAGCCTCACTAACACTATTATAATATTGCATTATTTGTAATTTGTAATATAAAGTACAACAGATTCACTCCCCTGTCACTCACCACCTGTGCAGTGAGATACCCACTAAGCAAACAACACAACATGCCCTAGGAACCTAGGCTGCTCAATGAAAATATCAACCAAATTCAAATCACTATAATATACGAAACCAACAAATAATTATAAATTCCAAAACAAAATGATTCCTTTAGGATCCTTCCATAAAATAATTTTAATTTACATAACAAAAACTGGCAACTCCAAATAAAAATATAAAAAAGAAACGAATATTTAAAACTTGCATGTCCAATTACTGTTGTACTGTTACAAATGTCACATAAGCAGATACTGAAAAATATATTTATTATCTTGACAAAATTTCAAGAAAAGTTTACGAGATACGAGACCTATAGTTATAATAGTATAGTATAGTCAAAAATATGTAACTGTAGTCAAAGAGTGTGTACTAAACAGTAAACACACGTAGATATAGAAAGAACCGACGTCGTTACACGGCGACGCGGCTTGTAGATGAGACCTAAGTACCTTGTACTTTGATTTAGTGCTTTTGGACCGAATTAGCTGCGCTAGGGAAGCTAATCAATGTACTAAAAATAATTTCTTAAAGCTATAAAGAAAAATATGTACAGGAGTACCTTTTAAATTTTCACCAATGAAATTCGTTACTTTGAATTTATAAAGTATACAGGGGGCCAAGCACGAATAACTATCGCATTCGTATCGTAACAGTATCGAGCGAAGTAAGCGTCCTGATTGGTTGGTTCACTCGAGCCGGCCAATCAGAGCGCCGAACGCACTCGATACTATTACGTTACGATTGCGATAGTTATTCGTGCTTGATACTCAGATATCTGGCACTACCGTAAATAGGAAAATATTAAAAAGTGTCCCTAGCGCCAGTAGCTCGTACTGTTGGAAAATATCTGTGAACCTGGGTACGTAGTCTCGTTGAATACAAAATGTGTGGCAAGGTGTCAGGTAGACAGATATTCCCGGCGAGTAAGTAGTAGACGGTGCAGTACGGGTGTGAGGGTTTAGTTGGCGGCCGCGGCCAGCGCGGGCGCGTCGGGCGGCTTGTCGTGGCGCTTGCGGGGGCGCCGCCCCCCGCCGCCCGCGCCGCCCGCCCCGCCGCCGCCCGCCGCCGCGCCGCGCTTGTCCGCCTGCACCTCGAATGGAGAGTCTGCTGCAGTCACGTCAGTCTCTTGCTGCAAATAGAAAAAAGCGAAGAGAAGTTAGACAGACATGTTTCGACTCAAACCAAATAATTATCCAATTGATGTATTATTACGATATGACAATAAACAATGAGTACGCACGACTTGCGCGGGCAGGGCGTCGGGTTTGTCGAGCGCGTGGTGCGCGCGGCGGTCGTGGCGCGCCAGCTTCACGGCGGCCGGCTCCGGCCGCAGCACGTTGCCCACTGCCTTCGTACGACCCTCGCGGAACACCTGCGTAATGCAAAAAAAAAATATCAAGCAAGTTATGGATTTGTTATTTGTTTCTGGAGGTAATACGGAGGCTGCAGAGTTGTGTAGCTTATTTTTACTCAGTATTTTGAAATCTATTAATGACATAAAAATCAAATATAAAATCTAGTATAGTCAATACTGACCATTCTCTGCCCCCTCTTGAGGTACTCTGGGTGCTTGATGAAGCGGAAGCGTACGAGTGCCTTGTCCCCAGTACGGAGGCAGTCACGGGACATCGACAGGATCGACGCAGTCTGTCTGATGCTGCCACAGTGCACTGCAAACGGAGATTTAATATTAATCGTGAGATTTATTTTTCGCTCCATTCTGTGATTTTATACATCAAACTACTATAAACGGCAAAGTTATGAACGGCTTATCGGCTTTATTAATTTTTAACAACGTCGAAAATAGATTGTCTTCATGTGTAAGACAATAATATAGTGTATACATACCCATAGCCTGGTACCGCGACGAGATAGTAGTTGGATGGTGCAGTACGAGGATCTCTCCCTCGAACTGCCAGCACGCCTGCGGGTTCAGTGCGGGAGACACCATCACCATACCCTTGCGGATCTGAGAACGTTTAATCTGTGGAGACAAATTAGCTCATGATCAGATTAATGTTTTTTGTCAATAGTGGTATAAATATAAGGTGTCAAGGTACGCGCACCCACGACAGAGAAAATCATAATGATCCATTGTTGTTTAAAAATAGAAAGAAAGTGAGTAAAATGTTCGCTGGGAATATTTGGAGGTTCCCAATTCTTCTCTTGATTTGGTATAAGAGAAAAAGATCATTTTTTCTTATTGAACTACACACAAAGAAAGCCTACCATGCTATTTGATGTCCCATGACACAGGAGAGGATGTTGGCCAAGATCAACTTATAAAAGTGTTATAATCTACATACCTTCTTAAGAGCAAAGCTAGCAGTCTGTCCCCCCCTGACCTCTGGTACGGGCATTCTCTTCCTGTGTATGCTCTTGACAGTGATGGGAGTGAAGCGTCCGAGTGGGTCGGGGCCCAGTAGGAGCGTGTCGTTCAACTTGATCACTCCTGCCAGCGTCGTGCCTGATACCACTGTGCCCACACCCTGGGAGAAATAAAAAGATTGCATTAAGTCACAATTAGTTAATTTAAGTTTGTTAAGCATTTTTGAACTGTTTAAATAAAACCTAGTTTTATTACTTGCGTTGCGAAAACTTACTTCCATTGTGAATAAGAAATTATACTTTCGTTAGAAGAGGTCAAAGAATGACGTAATACTTAACTTTTGAATAGATACTCTAAAATTCAAGATAATAATATCTTAAGTAGACTAATTATCTCGGGAAGTATACGCAAACATATCGTACCGGCACTGAGTAGGTGTCATCAATTTGGAACTCCGCCGGCTTGTCGTCCTGTGAGGGCATCCTCGTCTTCAGCAGGTTCAAGAACATCGTCAGCAGCTCCAGGTTTTCACCAGTCACATTCGACACTTGGAAGATTGGACATAGCCTGGTGAAATATAATTAAAATCTAATTCGGAAATGTTCCTGATGGGCTAAAGATGTCGAATGTGTTGTGGATTATAGTGAATGAGATTAGAGATAGAGTTTTAATAGATTTTTGTACGGATTTTGCATGTATAATCTTTAGTATCCAAATCTTTCGGTGGATACATCACAATGTGCTACTGAAGACTCCTTCCATATTCAGTACAATAAGCTAAAGAAAGCTACATAATGATATATTATGTATGAAGTGTGTACAGACGCTTACCTCTGCGATACGAAGTTAGTAGCGCTAACGATGACGTCATCTTTCGTCTTCACCATGACGGGGACTTTGCGACAGCCGGATGACTTGAGGATCCTGATCAGCAGCTTGAGGTTATCTTGGAGGACGTTTGGAGGACACATGTCGATTTTCGTCACTACTACGAACACAGGTACTGAGAGAGCGAGAGCCAGGCCAAGGTGCTCCTTCGTCATGCCTACTATACCTGCGTTGGCGCCAATCTGAGGGCATATTAATTTACTTTGAGATTTTGCAATTTAATTACAATCTATACAAAATAAAAAAACACTCTTACCATAAGCATACCGAAGTCAGGTGCATGTCCAGTCATTCCGAAGACGGTAGTCTTGAGGTATCGCTCGTGGCCAGCCAGGTCGATGAACGTGATCACCTTGGACGACTTCTCGCAGATCTTCACCCAGTCCAGCGTGCCGTGGTCCGGTTTGTTCACTACATTTCCTGTGAACAAATGTTCGATTTATTATATTGTTCGATTTTGTTAGAGAACAATTTAGTTTGTAGAAACCAGAAAGTCTGTCTGGGGCACATACCAAACCTCAAAATCGGAGTCGTAGGTGACAGAGACGTTAGGTGGTGTCCAATTAGTCGGATTACCATAATGTTATAGTATAGATAAATCTCAACCAAAGTTTCATAAAATGTCTTATGCAAAAGTGACAATGCGAAAAACAATAGAGAAAGCTATTCTTATTGAAAATATCATAAAATTCGAGTCCTGCAGTTAAACTTGAGCAATATTTCAAGACGCTAAATAACAAATATTTTAAAAGTATTATTCTTTTGTTACGTAATGTTTACCTTGAAAATTACTATTGAATAAAAGTTACGTGAAGTAATGCTATAATTCCATTAATTCTACATTCAAGCGTTTCTATTCACAGAAGGCAGCTAAACAAATAAGTTGCACGTGATCATAGTGTAGATACACAGTTAGACAAAGTCATACTTATTCAGTTTTTAACTATTTAATGTAAGTACATTCGTATATACATGATGATAACTGATTTTCCCTTTCCCTTTGGTGTAGTGACCGCTTCGGGAACATTAAACGTTTCTACACTTCAATTCGTACACAATAACTTCTTAAAATTGGGTTAAGATGCTTAAAACTACTTGTCCGGTAGACGTTTATCGTGTATAAAGGGCAGTAACTGTACAGTCTGCATATAAAAGAATTGCATAATCAACCAATAAATAAGCATATATCATTATCAGTGCTCGTTCAAGTTCTATAAACAGTACCTACATTCACTACTTTAATGAACTAATTACCCACTATTACGCTCTATCAATATT